AAAAAAAAAAAAAAAATCAATCGAGTATCTAATAGATAACATCTCAAAAAAAAAACATTCTTCAGCACAGAATGAACTTACTTGATATTCCATTTTCTGGCCTTTACATTTAATGGCTCCATGGCTACCAACAGTATCAATTGAAAACTGATCTGACAACTCACTATCAGTTACCATAAGCTGAACCTAAGAGAAAGAAATTGAAATGTGTTATAATTTAGGTACCTTAAAACTTAAAAAAAAATTTAACATAAAATACTACCTTTTAAAACACCAATCTTTTCTCACTATTAAATGCTAATCTTTTTAAGTTAAAATATTTAACAAATGTTCTCTCAACCTACATTTACAGTTTATTCTTCAGCACTGAAAATGAAAAACTGACAAGGAGATAAAGGTGAGTAAAAGTTAGAAAATACAAAAGTTACCTTATTGTTATTAAAAAAGTGATTTGGCTGAAAAGAAAAAAGAACTGGTTTTTTATAATTAGGTGGATGTTTTCGATGAATTCCATCAGCTTTGTACTGTAACATTCTACCAGTTTTATTGACCATCCAGTATGGACTATGAAATGCCACAACAGTCTGGCCAGTATTGTAAGTCATATGGATGGCAATATCTAAATCAGTCTTTTCCATTTCTGTGATACAGGTAAAATTGATGAAGCTAATGTCTTGTTGATTAAGTTTTATATGATATTCACTTTTCCAATCATGATTAAGATAGTCAAGTAACTTTAAATGCAGCTTGGCTTTATCCATCTGTACTGTACAAATCTGGGCTGAGTGTCCTTCATTGAGAGTAGAAACAGTATTTTCAATCCCCTGTAAGAAAAAAGAAAAACACATTCAACTTTAAAGTATCTATAAAGAATATGCCTCAAAATTCTACTTAATCATTCTAAATTGAATTCTAATGCGGTTGAAACACTTTTTAGAAAAAGCAGATTTTAGGTTTCAGCTGTGTAAACATCTATGAAATATTTGATCTAGATCTGAACAACTGTATTTGCAAAACAGTATAAATAATTGACTTCAAAGACTATTGTGGCTCAGCCAAATAGCTTGTGTCTGTAATTCCAAATACTCTGCAAGTAGGAATTGGTAGGATTACGGTTCAAGGTCAGTCCGGGCAAAAAGTTAGCAAGATTGTATTTCGATCTACCACACCACATAGATGGAGTCAAGATCTAAGGCAGTCCGTGAGAAAAAAAAAAAAACATGATCCCGTATGGTAAAATATTGTTAAAGCAAAAAGGACTGAAGATGTATCTGAAGAGAGAGTGTGTCTGTCTAACAAGCATGAGGCCTTAATTCAAACTCCAGTGCCATCAAAATAAATAGATGGGTTATTGTGGAGATCAATATATGAAACCTCACTGGAAATTATGAACATACAATAGTAAAACTCACGAGACAAAAAATAACCCTAGGTATTAGTGATTATAGTCTTGAAAACTAGAAAATAATGAAACTTGTAGAAAACTATGAATCCTAAAATGAAGCAACTGCTAATGACTTCCACTCTTGATTTTTAATACCTTCACCCAATCAAGAGGTACTCTCTCATCCTTAAACCACGGCTGTTAACTACACCCACCTAAAAATACATAGGAAGTATAATAATATAGTCATTCTCAAAGCAAATCTATAATGAATTGCAGCGATTACATATTCCTTCACTTGATAAACATGGCAAACAGAATACGTACATAAAATTATAAGATGGAGAAATTCCACTTCTAACACTGGAGGTAAACAATCTTTTAAAAAGAGTTTTTAGTATAAAAAGCATGTTCACAGGGAATACATTCCTTAAGTGAGTAGAACATATGATATAAAGTAACAAGCTTTTTTTAAGTCTAATGTTATTTCAATACTGATTCTCAACCATGCTTCAAAGTATAGTGTTCATCCTGTAACCATGATTTATATACACAGAGACATAGAAAACCCTGATCCCTTCAGTTTCAATGATAGGTAATTTTATAATCTCTACTTTCTGATTTTTAGAAGACTAAAAAATATTTTTGTAGTTTTTTGAAAAAACCAGTATACCACATTTGTACTAAGATTACTAAAATAAATGAATTTTCTTGATAGTACTAGAGTTGAATTTGCTAGATGGGCACTCTGACTGCTGAGTTAGACCTCAGCTGGTTTCGGCAGGTTATTTTTGAGATAGGGTCTTGCTTTGTCCAGGCATGATCCCGTTAGGCTTCCCATCCTAGCTAGAATCACGGGGTTAGACCATCTCACCCAGCTCTCTGTTAATAAGTCTCATCAACTTTTCTGGCCTCAAATTGTGATCCTTTAATCTCATCCTCTAAAGAAGATAAGTTTACAGATATGAGTCATCAGTTCTTGGCTATAGAAGAATTTTTATTTTTCTTTTTTTAGGGTTTTTTTTGTGGCATTAGACTTTGAATTCAGGTTCTCACACTTGGTAGTCAGTTCTCTATCACTTGAGCCACTGTGCCAGCCCTTTCGGGCAGTTTCAAACCAGAGTTTCATTTATGTCTGGGCCTGTTTGGACTATGTTCTGGGTATACATTCCCATAAACTTGGGATGACAGGTACTACTGTTAAGATGGGAGTCTCTGGAACTTTTTTGTTTGGGATTGCTTTGAACCTTAATATTCTGATCTCTGCTTCCCAAGTAGCTAAGATTACAGGCTTGATCCACTGCATCTGGCTGAACATTTTAATTTGAATATCTGTTCTATCTATTCTTTACTACTACAATTAATACATCCTATCACATGAGTTACATCTCCAGACATTTTGATTTCATTTATTTTTCAGACAGTGTCTGATGCTTTTCTCCAGGGCAGACCTCTGACCATGATCTTCTTACTTCTGCTTCTTACATATCTGTCGATATAAGTGTGTGCTACCCCGTTTCATTTGTTCTTTAAGATCTCACTAATGTTTTTCCCAGGCTGAGATCAACGTACATTTTCCCATCTTCATGTCCTGCTTAGTATGTGCCTCAAACATTCAATTGTTTTAAATAACTCAAGGTTTAGAAATAAAAGAAAAACCTTCGACAATACCTGTACATAATAAGCAATTTTGTAAGGAAGAAGATTTCGGAGTATGATAGGTGGCCATAAATGCATTATGTATGGTAAGTCCCAGCCATCTTCTGAATACACTGAGAGAGATGTCAATTTATCCTTTTCTGGGACAACATTAATAATGAATGGTGTCTTCGAGGGGTTTATTGATCTACATTTCTTCTTTATAAGTGTTCCTTCAAGTTTTATCATTTCTTCAAAGTCAAGTCCTTCACATACTTGATAATCCTCATCCTCTGGCTTCAGATAAAGAAATGACCTGAATATAAAAACTGCAATTTCAAAACACTTGAAGACCTAAGTTACACACTTACAACTTTAGAATTCTGTTATTATTTACTTCCATAATACTGTATTTTTACATTTTCATATATATTTGAGAGCCAGGTAAGAGGCAGCTAACTTCCTGTAAACTTAACAAATCACTTAGTCTTTAAGAGAAAGTTATTTTTATTATACACTATTGTAAAAATACAAGATGACTACAAATAATCCAGCTAAGCAAGAAAATACTTATTACGACTCTACATACAAGCAAAAGTATGTCCAACGTTCTAGATTGTGTTTTAAGCATTAGGAATTACATCATAAACTTTTAAGTATGGGTTAGAATGAAGAGACAGCTAAAAATTTGGCTGCTTGTAGTTTTGCCTATATCTTTTGCAATATTCCTTTAAATGTGGAGTGTTCATTTTTAGAGTGTGCTTTAAAATGTTAAATAAACTATGATGCTAAACTCCACAGAAGGTTTTGTTTTTTTGTCTGTCGTGGGGCTTGAACTCTGGGATTGGGCGTTGTCCCTGAACTCTTCAGCTCAAGGCAAGCACTCTACCACTTGAGCTAGAGCACCACTTCTGGTTTTCTGGTGGTTAACCGGAGACAGTCTCGCAGACTTTCCTGCCCAGGCTGGCTTTTAACTGTGATCCTCAGATCTCAGCCTCCTGAATAGCTAGGATTAATGTCGTGAGCCATCAGTTCACAGAAGGTTTTACTGAGCAGTAAGCTCAATATTCATGAGATTTTCTGTTTCGGTTAAACAGTATTAATTTATTATGATATTAAATCTACAATGATAAGATTCACTCATTATTTTGATCAGTCTTTTGTTGGTGCAGTTATGGACTTGAACTCTGGACCTGGGCACTGAACCTTAGCTTTTGTGCTCAAGGCGAGCACTCTACACTTGAGTTACAATTCCATTTCTGGCTTTTTTATTTTTTTTGGATAATAGAAGATAGGAGTCTCACAGACTTTCCTGCCAGAGCTGGCTCTCTGAACCTTAGTCCTAAAATCTCAGCTTCCTCAATAGTAGCTAGGATTACAGGTGTGAGACACTGGTACCTGGCTCATTGCTTAATCTTTTTAACAACATTTATTTTATACTAAGCTTGACACATTTTCAATATTTAAAATAAGTTATATTGCAATTCTACCTCTGAGCATTTAACAGAACATATGTACAGATGAAAGATTTTATTTTCTAATGAATTTTTTAAAATCTGTTATGAAAGTTTTGAAAAGATAAAGAAGCTAGGGTACCAGTGGCTCACACCTCCAATCCTAGCTACTGAGGAAGCGGACCTCTGAGGATCACAGTTCAAAAACCAGCCTGGGAAGAAAAGTCCCCATGAACTTTTAACTCCAATTAACCACACAAAAACTGGAAGTGGCGCTTTGGCTCAAAGTGGCAAAGTGCTAACTATGAGCAAAAGAGCTCAGGGACAACACCCAGGCCCTGAGTTTAAGCCCCACAACTGACACACGCACGAAACAAAAATTCATGTTCATTATATATAGATATCTGTATCTAGCTATATATCCGTATACATATATCTATACATATACAAAGTTTATGTTCTATTAGACATTTGTAAAACTCATGTACATGTGACTGTGGGTTATAATGACTATACTGCAAACATATAATAATTGTGTTTATATATTTATAAAAGCATAAAATTTTATATGGTACATATTAAATACACTAAATACATATTTTGAGAAAGAACTTCCTTCATGCCTTGAAACGGAAATAAATTATTTTAAAGGAAGTTTGATAACTTAAAGATAAACATCTGTATAGGATCTAAAATGAAAACTGTATGAAAGAATTTAGCATGAACAAAAAGATTTAGGGGAAAAAAAAAATCACCGGTAGGATGCTAATGGTACGTTGAATTCATTTTCAGGTGATGCAATTCCTAATAAAGTGTTTCCTTCATAAACTGAGATTGGGAGTGGAAAATGATTTCTAATCTAGGAAGAAAAACAAATCATATTAAGTTCAGCAACCTAAGAATTGAGACATTTAAAAAATATGTCCACCTAATACCCTAGAAAGAAATTAAGCTCATAAATTGCCCATATGATTTAGAACATAGAATTTTTTAGTCTTAAATACAAAGGAAGTTTCTACAGAAATCTTGAAAATTATTTCTAAAGTCACAATCAATAGGAAAATGCAAACAACAAATGATTTATAGAACAGGAAAACTGAAAGATCAATTAATCTGAAAAATATAGTCAACATTCCAAGAAATCAAGAAAATGCAAACTATAATCATAGGATATCTTCTCATTCCAATAGGCTGGTATAAATTAGTAGTCTTCTAGTACTAATAGGAAAGTATGTATATATGTAACTATTGTACAATGAGAACAGATCAAAGAATACCTAAAAATGGAGAAGAAAGTCTTTTGCATAACATGTTCATTACTATTGACTTACAAAGATTTCATAAGTGTATTTTCATGTCAAAAATCAACCTTATTGTATATTCTGTAAAAAAGCTGCCAATTTTTCCTCTGCTTAAAAATTCTCTAATTAAAAAGATATACAAATACTATAAAGACTTAATATTAAAAAGGTATATTATATAATAACTAAAAATTAAATTGATGAGGTTTTTTTACATTTTTAGTACATAGATAAGTATTTTATAAAGCAGTGTAATAAGAAATTATGAGAAGCATATTGAAAGAAATCCTTTCACTAGTCAATTACTGAGAATGGAATTTGCAAATTAGCTGTGCTTCTCTGATATTCTTCAGTAATTGCTTTAATTTTTACATTAGAACAAAGATGTATATAGCAGCACTTTCCCAATATTGATCACTTCATACCTGCACTGGTGAGCGAATTGTCACCTTCTTACTTCCTTCTACTGCATCGATTTGACAAACGACAGACCTTTCAACTCCAGACTCTCTGTGTCTTACAGTATACAGCCGTCGCCCCACTTTTGTTAAAGGTATCTTATCAGCAGTAGAATGGTTATCGGGTGCTAAGTTAAATACAGATAAATGTTAAATACCAAAATATCAGATTGTCTTAAACTTCTAAAAGTCTTTGAACATTACAGATTTAATCTATATGAAAGGTTATTTAAATAAGCTACTACTTGTTCTACAGTATTTATCCAAAACTTTTACAGCATTTTCCAAAAAGTTTTTAATTAAAAAAAAACTCATCAGAAAAAAAATCTCATCAGAAGTTTGACACATCCTCCAAAAAACAAATCTTTAAAAAATAATTGAGTAATAAGAATAATGATAAAACCCAAGGACAATGATTGTGGCGTGCTGTCATAATAACCAGAATCTAATGACTTCAGATAGACATTGGCAAATGTGGAAGTAGCTGCACTTATTTAGTTTTAAATTTTTCCAACTATTTGTGTGTGTGTGTGTGTCTGTGTGTGTGCGCGCCAGTCCTAAGTTTTGAACTCAGGGTGTGGGAGCTTGTCCATGAGAATTTTTGCTCAAAGTTAGTACTCTGCCACTTAAACCATAGCTCTACTTCTAGTTTCTTTTGGTGGTTAATTGGAGATAAAAGTCTCATCAGCTTTTCTGACCAAGCTGGCTTTGAATCATGATCCTCAAATTCAGCCTCCCAAGTATCTAGGATTACAGGTGTGAACTACCAGTCTCAGCCTGACTTTTTTACATATACCTTGAATTTAATTAAAGAACATTCTGTAGGTACTTAGCTAATATATTTGCCTAAATATACTATTTGCATAAAATTTTATCCCCATTTATAAAAATATTACCTCAAAAGCAGAGGCAAAAGTGACATACCATTACCAATGCTCCAAAAATAACCCATAATACCTATATTAATTCCTAACTACGGTAACCAACTGTTTTAATAGCCTGCCTCTCCCCATGTCTAATCTTCCATATGATATTCTCCTCAATGAACTACTTAAATGTCAGGAGTGCCAGAGGGGTTTGGGTAATTATTTGAAAATATTTGAGAATGACTACTGTGATAACTTAAGATTTTTACTTCCCATAGAAATGAAACATCTGCAACAAGCAGAAAAGACAAAAATAATTCCTCCTCAGTAGGTAGAACATTAAATGGTTATAAATTCCAAAACTAACACAAATATATCAGTTGAATTAAATAGAACTCAGCTATAAAACTGGTGAAATGCCAACCAACTCATATCACATGTCATTAAAACTTCCACTAGCAACATCGACCATCTGTAAAAATTGAATAAACTTAAAATAATAATAATGTCAACAAGTAAGGTCAGGATTTGGAATAGAGTACTAAAGGAGAGAACTAAAAAGCCCCCCCCCCAAAGTTCCCAAACTATTAGGAAAGGGATTATAACCAAACAAACAAAAATCCTGTAAGATACCATAAACGCTGGTAAAAGAGAATGTAAAAAGGCCATAAAAACACCACTTACTAAGGAGAATGAAGAAGAGCTTGCTGCTTAGACTGGTCATTGCACTGAAATGATCGTTGTCCTTAGTCAGTGCATAATCCATACTCAAACTCTCCTCATTATTCAAAACGTGTGACTTTGCCATGGGCATGTTAAGTACATTAAAAGAATCACTTGGTGAAACAGAAACACTAAGTCCAAGAGAATTTAAAATCATAAATGGTGCTAGATCTCTTACAAAGACAGGTGAAGATCCAGTAGCAGCCTCTGTAAATGCCTAAAAAAAGAGTTTTCCTAAATAAACTGTGTAAAACTTAACTGATAAGCAGAATAACATGACAATAACAAAGTTAACAATACATATATTTAATAAAAAGGTCAAGTTAAAGTAGTAACTCAACATTCAAATTTTCAAATATTTACTTTCAAGATATTTACCTTGACTAAATTATTTAACATCACAAGGCCACATTTGGATAATGTAATGTTCAATTGGTCTTTTGAGTAGAAACTGATAACAGTTTTATATTCTGGCACTTTATAGTTTTCTTCCTCTGTATCTGATTCCACAATGGCCTTTTTTGCTTTCTTTTTCATCTAAAGTGATAAATTGTAGACACATAATAATTTGCTTCAAAAAACAAACTTTCAACAAAATGTAAAAATACTATTTAACAGAAACAAATTTTATAAGTACTAAAATTACTTTGACAATCACATAAGGTCATAGTGGACAGGGGCCAAGTATCAGAAGAAAAAATTTTTTCTCATCTTCAGTAATGTGGCAGGCATTATTTAGAAAAGGAAAAAAGTCTCTGAAATTACTAAGTTTAACTGACATCTAAATATAAATTTAAATAGTTCATATAAAAATAGCCAAAAAAGTAATTGTTCATGATAATACATAAAGAACAGAAACCTGGGGACTTACTAAATCAGGCAAAATTACAAAACATTACTACTGCAAAACCAAGACTAGTAAGAATACCACTTATTTATTTACTTATTAATGGTACATAAACAATACTTTATATTGACCTAACAACCACCAAAGAAATGCCTTTATCCAAATCTTTCAGCTTAATATATAGAAAATTGAACTGCTTAATTAAGACAGTAAGGTAGGGATGACAAGTTAGTCACTTTTTTTCCTTAACTATAAGCCCCTAAAAATTTGTTTACATGTTGACTCAAATTTTTTTAATTTAATTTTGACTCAAATTATTATACAGAGAATATACTGGTAATATTCTTGCTCAAAAGCACAATTCTATCCATCCAAAGGTGCTAATTCTAATAATTTCACAAATTCGCAAAGTACTTCAAGCAAATAATAATATGTTGTTTGCTAGCTAGATATTCTTTTCAGAAGGCAAAGAAAGGTAATATTAGTCACAATCTGCAAAAAGAGGCCCTAGAGGAGGGACAGGGAAGAGGAGGGACAGGGAAGAGGAGGAAGGACATTATAGCCACAGTTGAGAGCAGGGACTATACAACTCAATTTATATCCCATCTCTTCTATGTTAGCTCTTATAACTTCAGAGAAACTCATTAACCTCTCTGATCTTAATCATTTCACATATTCAGATGTGGATTAAAACATCGCTTTCTGTGTCTTACTGTAAGGACTAAAGCAAACACACGCTGAGAACAATGTCCAGTACATAAGAAATGTTAAATAATTAGTTGTATTAGGAGAGGTAGCATTTTGATTTGAAAATAACATTGAGGGCAAAAAGGAAAGCATGTAGGCAAGGAGAGAACTTCAACTTGGTTGTGACTAAGATTAAAATGTCTAATGTGGTGCAGACATCCTCAGTTTTTAAAAATATTTTCCACTTCAAATAGACTTTGATGGAGGATGTTAATAATGAAATTATACTTGTACAAAGGCAGAAAGCTTATAAGAATATGCTACCGTCCCAATTTTGCAGTGAATCTAAACTACTTTAAGAAAATAGTGCTCTACTCTCACTCTTTCTCTAACACACACACACATACCTTTATTCCAAGATTCCATGGTCTGAAATCCTCAGTCTGATCAATTTCTAAAGGTTCAAGCAAAGGCTCCCATACACCAAACATTTCATTATAATAATGAACCTAAAAAAAGAATTTTAAATTTTAAATGAAGAATTCAATTATTTTCTAAAATTATCTTCCATGTTAGATCTTGTCACCAGGCCTTTTCTCTAGGATATTTCTTCTACATTAAAGCCATTCTACATGTAACTCACCTATCCCTTCTTCATAGCTAACTCACATTCTTTATATTTACTTCACAAAGAATATTCCACATATTCCCTTTACATTTTATTCCACATAGAACATTCTTAAGAATCTTCTTTGACTAAGTATTGTTTGTTTGGACTAATAAACTGTGTTCATCTACCACACATTATAGATATTTTTAAACAAGTCTATCTTCACTGAGTTAAAGCCCATGAATCTTATGATTCAATCAGTTCTACAATGCTCTGAATCTGTGGACATGCATCCAAGATCAAGATATACAGAATCCTAACCAGAATCTGAAAATCTGCAATTTAAATTATACTTCTGTTGGTATGTAACCCCATACCAACACATATAGAGAAATTTTCATATTCACTTCATAATGCAGAGTATCAGATTACTTTCAAATAAATATAAAATCAATTTATTTAAACCAAAGTAGAGAAATTAATTTATGTGAATTCTGAAGTTATGTTTCTTCCTAATCTTTAGAAGCGATTAGCCACATATTCATGTATATAGTCCGCTATCTTTTAAAATGAAAAAATAATCTTAATAAAATTCTTAAGAATGTTCAATATAATCAATTATCTACTAGTATATCACCTTTAACTCGATAAAACTGAAATACAAAAATGTAGACACTTCAAAATTAGAAGCAATGCACATATAAAAGCGACCATTAAAAACCATAAATGTGTCAATTGTCTTATAAAATTTTTTAAGTCAACATCATTTACAATTAGCTCAATTTAAATAGCTACCTAAGATTTTGTAATATTCTATATGTGACACTATTTAAAAAACCATGGAAAAAACTTACTTCTAGCTCAATCTGACAGTGTAGATTTATAAGAGTACTCCAATTCTTGCATTCCCCTGAAAAATGTGACTTTGCCAAAAGCATAGGCACTGTCCTATGGCCAACTCCAGCCTCAAGAACTATAAAAATAGAATCAATGTTCATTTTTATTATCTCTCCTTGAGGAATCAATTCAGTCGGGGTAGCAACCTTTTCAGTTTCATTGGATTCTTCAAGAAACCACATTTTTAAAGTCTTTGTATCCTTCTTTTCCCATAAATGTGCTATAGAAAAAACATTTTCCTCTTGGATAGTTTCCTTAGTTGTATAAAGTGCTGAAGTTATAGTTATTATGGTGTTTATGATAACAGGTGAAACCTAAGTAGAAAAGAAAAATTATTTAAAACTATATTAAATTTATCTGCTGATTAATTAGAAGGAATAATAAACTAATATTAGTGCCATAGTATTGTGGATACAATTTTAAAAAATTTAATTTGTAAAAGTATTTACATGAATCTTACATGAATATTAAACTGATGAAGTATAATTGAAATTATATATAGTATAGCATTATTAGATAACTACAGAAGCATCCAAATGTCAACAATATAAGGTCATACTCATACAGAAGATTTGAGCAATATTTTAACTTACCTTCAGTGTAAGGGATTTTACTGATACATCAATTATTTGTGGACCTGAGCCTATCTGAGTAGCTTGATAAAACAAGTCACAGGGCTGCAAAACCTATAATACAACAATTCCCTAAGTTAATGATCACATTGTTAAATCTTTAAGATTTTCTTAGCAACAGCTAAATTTACATAAGCAACTTAATTAACAATAACTGTATACAGAGTGACAACCCAATTGTTCTCATTATTTATAATAAAATATGAATGATATTATGAACTATAACATTAATATAAGAAAGTAGAAACACTTTTCCTACAAACCCTGATCCTGGCACTTGAGAAACTGGCATCTAGAAACCACATATTCAACAGCTATAAAATGAGGTTAACAGCTATGCCAAGGAATGATAACCAAAATACTTAACAATTGGCTGAGTATAACATAGAAAAGTCTGAACAAACATTCATCAACAGATCATTGAAGATCAACTGAATAGCCACTATTTTTATCTTACTGGATTGCTGGCAAACTACTGACTAACTACTTAACTACTGTTAAGTCTTAGCTGTTAATATTAGACATCCCCCTCAAGATGGCTCCTAAGGATCCACAATGGGGTAAATACAATGCTGAAACCTGTGCTTTCTGACACTCAGGTTCTTCTTCCTGAAACATACTTCCATGGCTCCCCTTGGCCAACTTAACGAATATGTCAACATTCTTCAGTTATTAGCATAAAAGTAACTCTCACTGTGAAGTCTCCCTCAGGAGACTACGTTTCTCTATAAAATCCTAAAATATCCTTAGCAAACAGAGTTTAACAAATATCCTCAAATTTAAGATAAACCATATATATATACATATAGCTACTAATGTGCTTTAAAAATAGGAAAAAAATATGAAGAGCATCTGAAAGATGAACAGTCAACACCATGAAAGGTGAACACCAAACTGTGGTGCAGTAAGATGTTATAAAGAATAAGGGTGAAAAGAATGCAAGTAAATCCAATTTTTTTTGGGGGGGGTCCCGGTTGTGGGGCCTGAACTCTGGGCCTGGGCGCTGTCCCTCAGCTCTTCAGCTCAAGGCTAGTGCTCTACCACTTGAGCCACAATGCCACTTCCAACTTTTTTCTTTTTGCTTATGTGGTGCTGAGGAATCAAGCCCAGGCCCTCATGCATGCAAGGCAAGCGCTCTAACACTGAGCCACCTTCCCAGCACCCATAAATCCAATTTTTTATGACTAAGCAGATAATGAAACATCAACTCACTGTAGTGATTTTGCCTTTTCTCTTCACTGGAAGAAATGGGCATGCTCTGACTTGGAGGTCTTTAACAGCAGCAGTCACTGTAGTGTTTTCAATGTCACCTTTACAGCATATTTCACATTGTGTCGTAATGACTAAAGCAGGAGCATCATGCCTTGTCATGTCAGCCACAAACACAATTTCAGGATTTTTAATTAGAATATTCATTTCCCACTTTACTAATTGCTGTACAGGAACTAAAATTGAAATATTAATATAGGTATATTAATTATGAGAAACATTACTTCTAAATAACAAGCAAAACTGAAAAAATTAAATCTCAAGAATATCTATTACAACTCTCTTTTCTTGTTGTGTAAAACTCAATGAAGATTTGAGAAGCAACATAAAAAACATGAAAATTTGGGAAATACTGTACTACCGAATGACAGATCTGAAACTTAATTTCCAACTGTCAACCTGACCTTTTTTTATATTATACTACAGTGAATATATAAAAATATAGAACTTGAGGTGTAGTTCAAGTGATCGAGCCTTGCTTGCCAAGTACCAGGCCCAAGGTTAAATCAGCAACATTGAGAAAGAGAAAAAAGGAAAAGAGAGAAAAAGAAAGGGAGAAGAATAAGATGAAAAAGATAGAAAGCACTGGTTGGTCCATTATTTCTGTTTTCTTTCATCCAATATATTCATTCAAATAAATGCCTCCAGGAAAATAAAATGACTTGTTCTAGTATGACACATAAATGTTAGGCCTAGTATAGGTACTTTCAAAAACTGCAATCTACATATATTCCTAGAAAATACATTAAGCATTTCCTCTTATTCTGAAAAATAAAATATTTTAATAAATGCAATTACTCTGATAATTTAAAGGATAATCTAGAAGTTGTAGCATTTAAATGACAGCAAATACTTTAGTTATTAACTAACCTTCCTTAGAAGTCCATGTTTGAACACTAGTTTCTACAGCAGAGCCTGTGGTGTAGGCTTCAAGAAAGACATTTGCAACAGTCAGAAGAAATTCCACACTTGCACAAATATACATTTCTTGAAATACTGCATCAGTCACAGATCCATCTCTGACTGTTCTGTATTTTACATCCATCATGTCCTTTTTGTCAAACCCAACAGTTAGTCCTATCATTCTGAAAAACACAGCAACAATTCCTATGTATGAGCAAGTTACCAGAACCAAATACATCAATAAAACTTAAATACCTTTTCTTATCCTTTTCACCCACAGCAAATAAACATTCTGAGAGAGTTATTTCTTTATAAGACTGAAAGGTGCTGTAAACAAGACTTAACAAAACCAATTTCAAATGCCACATACCATTTCTTCTCAATTTTTCAATGTATTTCCTATTTAATTATATTTACTTGTATTCATTCAACTCATCTGTCAACTATCAAGGAGAATAGCATACAGCAGGACATTTTGAACATTAAATAAGTAGCATTTCTTGACTGAATTTACAAGCTTAGTAAGTCTCTAACATATACCCAGAAAGTGCACTGCAACTTTGGGAAGAAGTTCTCTGAACATTATTGACTATTTTCAAGTAAAATTCAAAGCAATATGATAATACACACCTAGGAGTTGCTTTCTTGACATGGGGCCTTTTATCATCCAAAATACAGTTTTTTACTGAGAAAGAAGAGGATATTGAATCATCGGTATACATTTTTAAAGAACTTATAATGTTCTCCAATTTAAATTCAGCAAGTATCAGGGATGGATCACGAACATCTGTAAAGGAGGCCTATGGAAGAAGAAATCAGAAAATACAAAAGCGTAAACTTAAAGTAAGTTTATGTGCGAACTACTATGAACCATGACATCTTGTAAGGTACAACAAAACTGTTTGCTTTTCACTTTTTTTTAGTGCTAGACCTTGCACATGCTAAGTATATACTACATCACTAAGCCACAATATCCTAAATCCCCAAATTCTCCATTCTCCAAAGGCTAATGAAAGATCCAAAAAATTATTTGGAATTTATCTTCACACTATTATCTGTATTGTAGGTTATTTTAAAATAAAAATGATTAAAGTTAACATTAAAGTAAAAAAAAATCAAATCATTTTTTTCCTCCAAGGAACAGGCACTACCAAATATGCACTAAGTACTAATGTTTAACATTTATTCAGCTATGTAGTTTTTTACGTGACCCCTTCCTCACCTTACCTGCTGAGGACCTGGACTATACAGCACCATGGTGAGGTAATCAGTTCTGAAGCTCACATTTAGTGTCATCTTAACCTGCGAAGCATGTGAGTGCACCTCTACCACAGCAGCAGTCACCACAGTTGTTCCTGACAAAACAAATTATTGAAGAAAAAAATCAGATCAAATAGAATTAGTAATTAAATAGGAGCACTAAAAAGATATTCTGAAGCTGGCTGCTGGTGGCTCATGCCTGTAATCTTAGCTACTCAAGAAGCTGTATTTCAGGATCACAATTTGAACCCAGCTCAGGCAGGAAAGTCCATGAGACTCTTACCTCCAATTAACCACCAAAAAACTGCAAGTGGAACTATGGCTCAAAGTGGTAAAACACTAGCCTTAAGCACAAAAGTTTGGAGACAGTTTTGAGTTCAAGCCCAAAGAGCAGCGTGCGCACGCGCGCACACACACACACACACACAAAGCACACACACATATAATCTAGAAAATAAAAAATAAAATTTATATACAATAAAATATATCAGATCTGAACAATTTAATGAGGTTTGAAAACTGTGTACATCCCTGTAATGAATACTCTAAGCTGAAAATTGTTTAAATCCCTGCAGGAAGTTACTTTGTACCCTCTCCTTCCTTCCAATCTCCCAAATTTTTACTATTCTATTTTGACCACCAAAGATTCCACATAAATTCCATATTAATGGAAAATATAGGGGACATTTCTTGTTACTTGGTTTCTGTCAACATAATTATCCATTTTTCTACTAACATTTAATGTTTACATATTTTGGCTACTATGAATTTTTAATTTGGTTGAGTTACATAGCTAGGCCCAAACTGCTCTTACACAGGTAGGTACCTTCACTACCAAACTCTTTGTTAAAGCAGTTCTATCATTTTATATTTATAAATACAAGAAAGTTACACCTGTTCTTCCACTTGCTCGTTAACATATCACTGAAAATTTAATTGCCTGATAAACTATAAAATTTTCCTCATAAAAATTATATTAGCAACTGTTCATGTTTTTACTAGCATTTTGTACAACATTTTGTTTCAGTTATCCAGGTCATTATTTTTTCTAATTGTTATTTAGTCATAGCTTACGTATTAGGTATACAAGAACATGTATATAACGACTGTGGCTGGATTCTGGTATTTAACATTCATTATCTTGAGACCACCTTTGGTGAGCAGAAATTTAAAATTTTGATAATCTATGAAGTTTTTCTTACGATTATTGTTTTTGTATCTACCTAAGAGCTCTAACTCACAGTAAATAAGTTTCCCATTAGAAATTTACAAGGTTTAGCATTTAGCTTTTAAGTCCCTATCATCTATTTCAAATTAATTTCTGCATATGGTATGAAGAGATGTTTGAATTTTTTTCCACGTTTATACAGCTGTTTAAAAGTCTATATTGATTAGGTATATGGTGAACCTACAGATCAATGTAGTAAGAGCAGGTTTTTTATTTTTTTCCAATCCACAAACATGATACACTTCTCCATACAGGCATTTAGCTTCTCTCAACAACAATGGTATTTTGTTAATGTGGAGATCATGCATGATTCTCACTCAGCTTGTTCCCAGGAATGATTTTGATTTCAGTAGTACTGGATTTTGAACTCATTTGCAAGGCAGTCCTCCTCCTACTGGAGCTATGTCTCCAGCTTTTCTTGTTCAGGTTATGTTTGAGATAAGATTGTCGTATTTTTGCCAGGGCAAGCCTGGATAGGAGTCTTTTTATTTATGCTTCTCATCATAACTGGGATGAAGAGCCAGGCACCAGTGGCTCATGCCTGTAACCCTGGCTACTAAGATCTGAGGATTACAGTTCAACAGCCCAGGCAGGAAAGTCTGTTAAACTCTCCTTTCCAATTAACCACCAGAAAACTGGAAGTGGCACTGTGGTTCAAGTGGTAGAGAGCTAGCCTTGAGCTGAAAAGCTCAGGGACAACACCCAGGCCCAGAGTTCAAGCCCCACAACCAACACCACCAACAAAAAAAAGAGTACACACTATTCTAAGCTTTTCCTGTTGAGATGGAGGTCTCATGAACTTTTTGCCCATGCTGGTTCAAGTTAATGATTCTACTGATTTTTGCTAGTGAGTAGCTAGGTGTATAGGCATAAGCCACCACTCCAAGCATGACTTATTTTTAATGCTACTGCAAAGAATATTTTTTTTTGTATTTCAATGTTTTATTGATCTGGCAACTGCAAAATATACAAATTTCTCAAAGGCATCCCTTGTTTGAAAATGTAGCATAGCTTCATCCCAGGTCATTAATTCAGACAAATATATATACAGAAGTCAAAAAAAAAAATCACACACATAAGGCCCCCCCCTAAACCAATTAACAAATGAAACCCAATCTAGACAGCTTTCTATTGTTTAGGCTCCCTTATACATATTAAATAAATAAATAGCACTTCTGCTATCAAAATAATAAAAAAATAATTTTCAAGTATTACAAATGAAAAGATCATTGGTGTGGTTCAGTTTTTCTACTCTCCCAAAGTGAAGAGCTTTGCCCATGATCAATGGAGAATGAGAAACTCACCCAAAAACATATGCAAAGTTAAAGACACTGGTCCCTGTTGTTTTGTTTGCGGAGGTTGGGGAGGAAACCAATAGAAGCAAAAAGTTCCATGACTTAACTACATCAGACTCCTCAAGCCCTCAAAATCAGGTCAAACTGGGCAAAGAATATTTTTAATATAGTCAAATTTTCCCTTAACCTCATTTTTATATTTAATACATTAAGAATTTTTATATCCATGTTCAAGGGGGATACTGGTATATGATATTACTGTCTTCCCTTTATCTGAGTTGAACTTGCCCTTCTAGTTTCTTGAAGAAAATATGTGACCTTTGGTTTTAAACTTATGTATCGGTGGCTATGGATGCATATTTTATAGTTAAAATTTCTTTCCCCATTGGTAAAGTTACATTTCACAAATTTTGATGTTATATGTTTACATCATCACTCACTTTATATGACTTTCTAATTTCCACTTTATTTTTTTTACCCATGAGTTATTTAGTAATTAAATGTCCAAATATTTCAAGCTTTTTTCATATCCTATTGTTATGCATTTTCAATTTAATGTAGCCAAACATTTGATGGATTCCAAAATGATCTATCTTGTGAACATTCCAGAAGTGCTTAAAATGATCTATATGTATTCTGGGCTGGGAAGGTGGCTCAGTGGTAGAGTGCTTGCCTTGCATGCATGAGGCCCTGGGTTTGATTCCTCAGCACAACATAAGCAGAAAAAGCCAGAAGTGATACTATGGCTTAAGTGGTAGAGCACTGGCCTTGAGCTGAAGAACTAAGGGACAGCGCCCAGGCCCAGAGTTTAGGCCCCACAACCATAGGAAAAAAAAAAAAAAAAGACCAAAAACCTGTATTATTCTACAACTACTAGTTGACTGCAGTATTTTTTAAAATATGAACTAGGTCGAGTTTTTTTCAAATCTATTCTAAGTTTTTGTTGTTATTGTTTGTTTATAGCCTATGAATTACTAAACAAGGTGTGGTAAAATAAATCAACTATGATTCTACATATTTCCTTTAGTTCTATCACTAACTGTATATACTTTGAAGCTTTGCTATTAGAGTATAAACAAATTCAAGACAAGTATTATTTGTGAATTAATCAAATAACCAAGTTTGTAAAAAGATATATATGACAATCAGGAGAAACATGAATGCCACATGGGTCTGTTAAGGTTGTAAAGACAGTATAAAAACTTTTAGGGCTGATGTTATGGCTGCATTTTAAAAGTAAATTCCTATTTGCTTATTAGCAAGTCATGATATAATATCTGAGATTCTCTTTAAAATCTAGTGATGTGGAAGAGGAAGAAAGGAAAGTAGCAAGGTAGAGACATTCTGTCTTTTGGTTGATGTGTAGGTATTTTCAAAAGGAAATGGTTAAAAAAATTCATTCAAATCTTTATTTCTTGTTCCGTCAGTTTGGAACATGTTCTCTTCACAATTTAAGCCTTGACTATGTCCTTCACCTGTCCCATCTGCCCAATTTCAGCTTTAGTCAGATGTTTACTTCCATTAAAACTAGTTAGCATTTGCTTTCCTCTTTATATAGTCGTCTTTTTTTGGTCAACCCCTTGTGTCAGGCTTTCAACAGATTACAGCAAGAGAACTGCTCTTCTGCACAGGGCACTCCGTTTGGCACCTACATGGAGGACTTTCCTGTACTGACTATGGATTATTTTTCAAAAAGCACTTCATAGTTTTTATTACAATACTGCCTCTGTAAAGAGACCCCCCACCTTTTCTTACCTTCTATGTAAGGTTTTTGTTTTTGGTCGGTTGTAGGGCTTGAACTCTGGGCTTGGGTGCTGTTCTCACCTTCTAATAATGGCTAATTCAAAATTTATTCTACTTTGGTTCTGCACCATGGTTTAGTAAGAAATTTAAGAACAGAAAGTCTTACTTTCCGTGCCACTTACATAATATAGTTAATTCTTCAACACATACATTATGTAGAATTTATGCTTTTTCTTTCTCTTTCTTCTCTCTTAGTAGAGTATCAGGGCACAGACTCAGATCCTTGTGCATGCTAGGCAATGCTCTCTACTGTTGAACTGTATCAACTTCATCTCCAGAATTTTTTTCCTAACACATTATTCCATTTAGCTTTTTTTCCCTCTTCTGCTAATTTTTGTTAATTTGTTCATTTATTTGGGAGAGAATATGAAGGTATTTGAATAAGCTTAAAGTCACTGTATGATGGCTGGGCCATGTATATAAAATACTAGATTCAAAGTCATGTTGCTTAGCATTTTGAAGTATTATCCCATTGTTTTAAGTCATCTAGCCATTTCATATTATCAGTTTTGATAAAGTAACAATTACAACAAAACTAATAATCTAGTCTTTCCCCTATTCCCCAAGCAGGAAGCCTATTTTTTGCTGCAATTTCTTTTGTCAAATTTTTACAATATATCTTTTCAAGTCCTGATATTTCATAACAATATATTTGCATAGAGAACCTCAGTTTACTCAAACTGTTTGAAACTTACTACATCTAAAAGCTGGCTTCAATATTTACTTAGGTATGAAGTTATAAAAGCTTTTTCTCCTTTTTCTTATATTATTCTAGAACTGAGTCTAATGAACAAAAGCATCACTTAAATTTATCTCTTTTTTTCAAATATGTTTTTTTATTTTGGTTTCCCCTGTATGTGATGGAACACTACTTCAACAATATGTTCAATATTCTACCACTATGATGTTTTATTTCCAAGTTTCAGCTATTATATTTTTTGGTTGTGGGGAAGGTGCAGGTATTGGAAAGATTCATTTCCTGTCTTTTCCTCTCAACAAAATCCTTTTAAGTATTAGAAGTTTCTTGTTTATGTGCACATGTGCATGTTTTCCGTTTTTTGAGAGTCTCACTATGTAGCCCTGGTTGGCCTGAGACTCATGATCTTCCCAAAGTCCAAGGATTATAGGCATTACCACATCTAACTAGGGTGAGCTTTTGTTTTCCTTTTTTCTGTTCAATTATTTCATTCAGAAAACGTTCTCTTTACCTTTGTTACTTCATGTTTTGATTATTTTATCTGATCATTTATTCTTAACAATAAAGGTCAATGGTACAAATGGGGCTGTTAGAATTTTGTAAATGTTAAAGTTGTGTAGTATCTCAGAGTTTTACAAAGTTAGGTATTAAAGATTAAGTCTCTCTTTAAAGCTGATAGATTTGGGGAATCTACTAAAAATTGAGGGTAACTTTTCTTGTGTGTCTCAAAATCATCTTATCAACACTAATTCAAGTCTCCATTGCTGGTACTGAACTAAGAACCCAGCCATTGTCCACATATGACCCTCGATCCAACAATAGAAAAGCTGCATTCTAAGTTACTTTTCTATTTTTTTCCATCCATTCATCCATCATTTCTGAATACTTGTAAAACCCTATCATCTACAATGATTACCCGCTCGTTACACCTCTCATATGACATTTCCAATAACACTACAAAATGTTCCATTTGGAATGTATCTTGCACAAGGAGAGTTGGGAAATCAAGAATACTAAAAATTTGTTACAACAGGACTAGGAACTTTGATTTTAAAAAGTAAAAGAGTAACAGGTAAAATGAGATAAATTAGAAAAATTTATAAATTCTATTTGTCAAAAATAGACAAATATTTGAAAAGAAATGAGGAAGGAAGGAAAAAGGAGTAGGCAAGAGACATGAAGGAAGCAGAGAAAGGTGTACTTGACTGAGGATTAAGAACACAACTCCTAAGGAATTATACCATACTTCAATTAATACATGTGCGTACACTTGACTATAACCCTATGTGTGTCTGCTTGTATGTTTATAAATTAGATCTAGCTCATAGTCCAAAAAATGAATAATAAGAAATTGAAACTTGAAAGGTTTGGAGGGAAGGGCAAGGAGAGTGGAGAGAGAAAGTGAATAGAGAAAGGAAGGGAGGAGAACATGCAGTAATAATATTTAACGGATATCCCATGAAACTAGGAAAAATGAGGGAGGGGTCAGTGAGAGAATGGGGAGGAATAACCAAAAATGTGACAGCAACCAAGAGGTGATGCACTTGTAAACTGATTTTTTAAATGGTAAGCTCTTTGTACAACTAAAGACAAATAAATAAATAAATAAAAGACATACCTGCTGTATTGTATGACTCACTTGTGACTCCACTAGAAACACCACTTTGGTCTTTAACTACAGCAGGAGCAGCATTGGCATTTTCATGCCGTAAATTGCCATGTAATGTTTTAAAAATAGTTGTCAAATCTTCTTGACTAAGAATGAACTATTAAAATGAAAAAAGATATGTGTTCACAGTCCTACTTACTGTACTTGAAATTTCTTGCACAGTAATGTACTCAATAATACCTTATGTAACTGTAACCCCTCTGTATATCACCTTCACAATAAAATTTAAAAAATCCTGCACAGAGAAATTTAAGTCTGCTTTCAGTCTTCAACAAAACCAATTTTTAAAGTATTGAAATTTTTAACTCAACAGTAAGCTTTCCAAGTGATCATGGGACCTCTAGTAGCTTATGAAAAACAGAACTGAATTAGATGCCAGTACCGGGCAGCTAAAGATGATGAGCTATGTGGTGCCAATGCACCACATTGGCCAGCCTTGTAAACCTTTCATCTTTGTCATTTAACTATCAGACTGTTTTAGTTAGCAACCACTTTTTAAAAGTTTATAGAAAGGGCAACAATTGTAACTTTATGTCTCTGTATTCTTTTTGACTGACTACTGAACATTTCAGACTATGACCAATTCTTGCCTTAACCATGGTAAGTTCTACAAAGTTTGAGAAGATTGCATTGCTTATCAACATTATCTCCAATTTAGCACAAGGATTAGCACCCAGGAGACATGCAAATATTTGTTAAAAGAATCAAGAATGTTAATTTCTAGTTAATAAGGCACTATTTTAATTCTTTTTCTATCTGCCCCATCTTCCCACTTTTTTGAGGAGGTGATACTAAGGACAGACCAAGATCTCACACATTCAGGCAAGCATTCTGCCATTATGCTACCCCCATAGTCACTTTTGTCCATGCTGGCCTTGAACCTGAGATCCTCCAACCTCAGCATGCCTCCCAAGTAAACTGGGATAACAGCAAATATAAGTAGCATCACACCTGGTTGCTGTCATTTAAATTAAATGACAGTTAAATAATCATAAGCCAGGTAATTGATATATAAATTCTACAGAAGTTTTTAATGTCTCCAAATAATTATTTGTCAACAAACAAAACAAAAATACAAAAGCATCAAGAAAGTTACCTCCATAGGTTTTAGCTGAGCATTTACATTAAAACAAGGGACTTCCTGGTACCAACCCCAGGATAAATTTCTCTCAACAATCACTTCAAGATTTAAAGGCAGTAGTAGATCCAGTACTTCCTGGTATGCATCATTAATAAATTGAGACCTATTGGTAGAAATCAAATTGCTTTGAAGTATTTATCATAAATTTTCAGATAGGAAGAAATAAAAGGTAAAAGACTAATGTATCATTATACACAAAATAGTAGAAATCAAGAAACTTTTGGTATAAAGAGAAAAATAGTCTTTTATGTCTCCCATTAGAAACCTAAGTAACTTTCTCTAATCGCAAGTGTTCCACATTGAAGAAAAACTCTTTTGTGTATGTGCATACCCACTCGCACCAGTCCTGGGGCTTGAACTCAGGGTCTGGGCACTGCCCCTCAGCTTTTTTGCTCAAGGCTAGTGTTTTATCACTTGAGCCACAGTTCCAGCTTTTTTAGTGGCTAATTGGAGGTAAGAGTCTCAAGGACTTTCTTGTCTGGGCTGATTTTGAAACATGATGCTCAGATCTCAGCCTCCTGAGTAGCTAGCATTACAGGCGTGAGCCACCAGCTCATTCTATTTTAAGACAAAATCCTATTTTACCATATGATAAAATATATCAAAACTACAAAATTGTAACAAAAATTCTTAAAATGAGAACTATTATTTATATCACTTATAAATAAACATGATATAAGGACTCAATTTTTTTTTGTGCCAGAACTGGAGCTTGAACTCAGGACCTCCAACTTTTCCTTGACTTTTTGGGTCACAATTAGCATTCTACTACTTATTTAAGCCATACTTCCAGGCAGGCTTTCCACTGCTTAACTGTAGATGGAGTCTCACAGACTTTTCTGCCTAGGCTAGCTTTAAACCACTATCCTCCAGGTCTCAATCTGGGTATCTAGAATTACAGGCATGAGCCACCAGCATCCAATATAAAAACATTTTAATTCATGGTACTAGATATAATAGAATACCACATTTACCCTTACTTTATGAGAAACAAAATTCTGTCATATGAAAGCTTTGTTTCTGTGGGTCAAAATTGCTCAATATATTTAACTTCATATTCATCTAAACCAAATTTTCATTTATAAAAAGAGGAACGATACTCAGGAAAAGAAGAAACTTTAGGTCACTCATTAACGTCTTTCAAAGATGTGACAAAGAAACCTGCTGTTGTTACAATCTCACATATTAAATGTTTACAAAAATATACTTATGTTTTAAATGTAACAAAACCTTACTCTAGGGTTTGAAGATATGACTGTACAACTTCAGTTATCATTTACTTAATAGGAGAGTGCTACAGGAGTCATGGGTATCTCAGAATGTATGGTGGCAAAGTCATTCATGGATGGACTAGGAAATGACACTAAATTTAATCACAATGATACTTGCACACTCTCCACTTCATGGTAATAAATTACAGAAATCTAAAAACCCTGCAATATTGAATATGCAAGTTTAATGTCTAGGCAACATAACAAATGGCTAACATTAAGTCATTTCATCAGCCTTCTGTTACTAAAAATGCTTCCTATTTTTCACTTTAAAAAATACTTGTAATAAGATCTGTATAAATATCTTTGGCTAAATCTCTCTAGATAAACTTTCTTGCATATGCAGGAGTTTGAAGCCAGGGGCCTTGCCCTTGCTCAGCTTGTTCACTCAGCTGGGGCTATGCCATGCCTCCAGCCTGGCTCTTTGGTGGTTATTTTTGAAGATGGAATCTACCAAACTTTTCTGCCTGGGTTCACTTTAAACTGTTGAGCCTCTGATCTCAGCCTCCAGAATAGCTAGGATTATAGGCGTGAGCCACGAGCTCAGGGAGGAAAAACCCTTCTTAGTCATTATATTCAATATCTAAGAATAAGAACTCATGATATAGCATAAGTAAAAGGTGCAATAAGACATAATATGATAAAATGACAGGTGAAAGAGAGATACAAGGAGAGAAATTTAAAAGTTGTAACACTACAGCTTACATTACAAAAGAAGTATTTCAAATAAATCATCTCAGCTTCCACCTAAGGAAACTCAGAAAAAGAGCAAAACTGAACCTACAGCAGGAAGAAATAATATTAAATATAAATCATCACAAGAGAAACCGGAAAAATACAAAAAGCAATAATATCAAAAGCTGGTTCCTTAAAACCAATAAAGTGGATGAGTCTAATTAAACTGTTCAGTACAAAGGCATAAATTACAAATATTAGGAAGACAGAGGTGACATCATTAAACACTTTCATGACTAATAAGGAAATATTCTTAACAACTAAATGTTAATAAGAATAAATATTTTGTAGTCAATTATTTCAAAATGATTTGCTTCAAAAATTCAAAGCTGACAAAATATACTGGGTGATACTGTACATTACAACTTACGAACAACTACAAAAACAGAATATATTTCTTCAATAATGTTAATAGTTTTGCAGTTTCCAAATATTTTCTAGATTTTTAGAAAATAGAATTGTAATTCATGTTGATAGAAAAAAAACTTGGGTATAGAGCCACAAAATTAAATAGTTAAAACAAAATCCTAGTATAAACAGAATACTCAAGATACTCAAGCCTTAATGTAAAAATTAAGATAGTATACAGTCATGAAAAGCTTACCTGTATAGTCTCATTTCACTCAGTTTTATTGTTATTAAATCAATAACAGGTGGGGGATTGCACTGGCTCTCTGCTACCATCGTAAACACATTTGTCATTGTAATCAGTCCAAAATCAGCAACAAAAACATTTTGAGAAACTGGAGACTGTGGAATGACAACTACTGGAGCTTTGATGTTAACATCTAATGCCAATCTGGAACTCCTTTGCGTCAGTTCCTTAACACCAGTTGCAGCCATTTCTGCTGCCTGAACAGTTGCTTCAGCCAATGCTTGTTTAGCTGCTTGAAAATTATCTATAAAAGCCTGTAAGAAGATAGAATTATATTCTGTATATTGCCATTAGTACACTTATTAAATTATTTTAATGCTATAGTTTTACCTACATAAGCATTGGTACAACCAAGTATTGTTTATTCAAAGTGTGATGATCATGTTAAATCTTAACTTCCTGCTATTAAAATTCTGAGAAACACACACAAAGGTCTTGATTGGGGAAAAAAAAAATCTAGTTCCTGGACAAAGCAAAGTAAGTATAAACAATAGGTCCCACTTCCCTATAGAAATAGTCTGTTTATAATACTTTTGAAAAAATTATAAAATATTATAAAACTGTAACCAACCTGTCTATACATCACATTGAAAATGAAAAATGATAAAAATATGAAAAGAAAAAACATGAGAGCAAAAAACCAAAAAATATTTAAGAACTAAGACATATGTTCTAATTTTAAAATTCTAGAAAATACCTTGTGACATAAAATACAACTACCTGGATTTATACTTAACATGTTCAGAGAAAAAGTAACATTTCATTTTAGTAATTTTTACATAAAAGACAAGAGGGTTGGGTGATATGTTTATCAGAAATAAGAGTAAATAAGACAAATAAGCCTGACTTACCTTGTTCTGTGTACAAAAAGACTTCAAGGTTACAGGAAGAAAAACCTCACAATAACATCAATTTAAAAGACCACAGGAACTTACAATCAAGTAAAAAAATCTCCAAATAATAGAAGGCTCCACAACCCCAAATATACACAGGTAAATAACCTCCTTGCTTATAAATGCCCTCCTTGCTTATAAATATTGTCACACTTAGTGGGTGCCGGTGGCTCATGCCTATAATCCTAGCTACTCAGGAGGCTGAGATATGAGGATCACGGTTCAAAGCTAGCCTGGGCAGAAAAGTCCGTGAGACTCTTATCTCCAATTAACCACTAGAAAACTGGAAGTGGCACTGTGGATCAAGTGGTAGAGCACTCGCCTTGAGCTGAAGAGCACAGGGACAGTGCCCAGGCCCAGAGTTCAAGCCCCACGACCAACAACAACAACAAAAAGTCACATTTGACCTACTTATTAACTGGATTTGATTATCCAGTTTATAACTAATAATTAAGACAGTACTTTAAAAAGCATTTTTCTAGTATGTGCTAGGCTCTAGATGCAATCACTAGCCTTTGTTTTTTGTTTACTAGTGACATCATAAAAAAAAATCACACTTAGAGATTAAGAGTAACAACAGACAACAAGGAAAAAAGAGAAAAATAAGCTAGGTACTGGCTGCTCATGCCTGTAGTTCTAGCTACTCAGGAAGATTACAGTCTGAAGCCAGCCTGGGTGGAAAAGTCCTCATCAGACTCTGATCTCCAATTTACTCAAAAAACAGAGGTGGCGCTGTGGCTCAAAGTGCTCTGTAGATTGCTACCCTTGAGCACAAAGGGGCTAAGGGTCAGCGCCCAGGCCTGGAGTTCAAAGCTCCAGAACTGACCGCCACCCTTCCCCCCAAAAGAGAGAAAGAGAGAGAGAAACACAAACAGTCAGGTGCTGCTGGCTCACATCTGTAATTCTTAGCTACATAGGAAGCTGAAATCTTGAGAATCAGTTTGAAGCCAGTCCTGGCATCTCAAAAACAACCAGCAAAAAGTAGTGCTGAAGGGCTGGGAAAGTAGCTCAGTGGTGGAGTGCTTGCCTTGCAAGCATGCGGCCCTAGGTTCGATTCCTCAGCCCCACATAAGCAGAAAAAGCCGGAAGTGGTGCTGTGGCTCTAGTTGAAGAGCACCGGCCTTGAGCTGAAGAGTTAAGGGACAGCCCCCAGGCCCAGAGTTCAGGCCCCACAACCAACAACAACAACAAAAAGGTAGTGCTGAAGATATGGCTCAAGTGAAAGGAGTGCTAGTGAAGCAAGCAAGCTGAGGAACAGAATGAATCACTGTGCTCAAGTCTCAGTATTAACAACAAGGAAAAAGAACCCTATGAAAAACAGAACTTCAAATGCAGGAGACCCAGAGTGGAGTCATAAAGGGTCTGAACCTAATTCCTTGAACGCTGAATATATTCATGTTAATGTATAAATATATTTTTAATTACATTTTCCCATGTGAAAATGTTCTAACATTTTTACAAATGTTACACAAATAATGAACTGAAACAGTTGCTATAAATGCTACCCAGTAAACTATTTAACATTAAAAAATCAAAGGGATATTTTCCATTTATGCTTAACATACAGAACCATCCTTTTCAATAAGCATAAAAAGGAAAATTTGTCAAAATACTTACCAATACAGAATACAGAAATTTTGTGACAAACACTACTTCAATGCATCCAACAGTTAGGAGAATTTTAATGTCCACAATATTCATATCTGTGTATGCAGAGCCAGCAGTGGCATCCGTGTAAGAAACCATTTTGAAGCTGAAAACTTCTTTGCCAGTGATATAAACAGCCTAATGAGAGAAAATCACTATTGCAATAATTTTTGAAGTAATGTGTATTCAAGCCAAAGTAAAACAAAGCAAATAAAATAAGAAAACATGAACCCCATCTGAAAATTCTACCGGATATTCAAGCCAGTATAAGCAAGGCTTATTATTAATTATAAATGCTTTATAAGAAACTAGCTATATTTTCAAATTATTGGTGGAAGTTCCATTTGTAGGTCATAAAATTAAGCTAGTAAGTTTAGCCCAGCTACTTTTTTAAAAAATAGAAAGCAAAAAATACGCACTTTCACTTTGAGTTTATACCTTTACGCTAAGCCATCATATAAACATATCTCCACCCAAGTTCAAAGTCTGGAAAAACATTATGTGTACAACTTACTAAAAGCACCTTCTCATTTTTTTGGAAGGATGTGGAGTTTTCCAGATTGTTCCAAGGGACCTCGTCCCTATTTCTAAGCTTTTCATTTCCTTTGGAAAGAGTCATCTTAATTGCCAACCAGGAACTGCCTATAGTGGCTTAAAACTTCAAGCCCTGTAATACTAGTTTAAAATGGAAGAGACTATACGGAGACTTCAACTTTGGAATATGGGCATAGTACTTAGTTTAGAGGTTTTTTAAATTAAACTCTAGAGGAACAGGGAGCTGAAAATCCAATAGCAAGCAAATCAGTTCCAATTTCAGAAACAAGAACTCCTAGAAACCAAAAGTATGAGGGACTTCTGAAGACTGAGGCACAAGATGGGACAGTTCTCCCTCTACTACTGATACACAAAGCTGAAGGAAGAGCTCATTCAAATCCCTAGCAAGAAATAACTAGATAAACTATGACAGCTTTCCTTAACTCCATTGGAACAAAGTATCCTAACATCAGGGAGTAGAAGACAAAGCAGCCAGGTACCACAAAAGTGAGGCAAGAATAATTCAGCTAAATGATTTTCCAAAGCCATGGGAGTCACAAACACAAGAGTAGTACACACAGTTTCAGGCGCTTCATGAGCAAATGCTGGGAACTCATGAGAAAGATGGTGGTAAGGGGGAAAACTAGTATAGAAATTTCCTTGAAATTTCCTATGTAAAAGAAAAGGCTGGGAGTGTGCTTGCCTAGCATGCATGAAGCCCTGAGTTCGATTTCTCAGTACCACATACACAGAAAAAGCTGGAAGTGACACTTGGCTCAAGTGGTAGAATGTCAACCTTGAGCAATAGAAGATCAGGGACAGTGAGTGACCAGGCCCTGAGTTCAAGCCCCAGGACTTTCAGAAAAGAAAGCCTTATTTTCAGAAAAGGCCCAAAGTATCATCAGGATTATTAAGCCAGCTGTGAGTTAAAGAGCCACGTGAGAGCCTGAGGTTGTAGAGTTCAAGTTCAAGTATATACTCATCCATGCGCACATACACAGACACCCACAGGATTCATATGACCATCTCAATCAATACAGAAAAAGCCTTTGACAAAATCTAAAATTTGTAGGATACATCTAGAGCATTACTTAGTGGAATTATTTATACCAATAAATACTTAAATAGAAAGCACTCAACTCAAATCAGTAAACTAATGCTACCTCTTAGGAAGAGTTTATTAAATCCAAAGAAAGCTGAAGGAAATAAAAAAGGTAAAATCAAAGATAAATAAAATAAAAAACAGAACATTCAACGAAACAAAAAGTTTGGTGTTTTAAAGGGTCAATGAAAAGAGTGTCTACTGAGAATGATCAAAAGAAAAAGGCAGAAATCCTACTCCATGCAAAGAAGGAATCAGACTCAAGTTCCTTCCACTTATGACACTATGGGTAAAAAAATATAGGGACAAAAACAGAATAATGATTTTTCAGGTGGTAAAAAGACGGAAAAATAAAGCAAAAAGGCCATAAATTTTTGGGCATCACAGACACATTGTACATCATTAGGAGCCAGAAGTTGCATAATCTATCAAAACTCATCAAACTATGAACTGAAATGAGTATATTTTACAGCAAATGTGTATGAATAAACTGACCTTTAACGCATGATAACGCATGAAAAAAATCTTAATCAAGAATTGAATACAAAGGCTACTGAAGTCCCTACATCTTACCAAGAAGACAAACATCTTTCTGTTCCAAGGCCTGTGTAGTTACCATTTCCTCTACCAGGAATGTTCTTTCCAAGGGCTCACACCCAACCATTCAGATTTCTGTCAAGTGTTTCTTTTACAAAGGGGCATTGTACTACTCAAGTTATTATCTCATGTATTACCTAATCATTTCAAACCCAGTGTTTTCAAAGCACTTAACCACTCCTCATATTATTTCTGACTTCTATTTATCCCATGAGGAAAGAAGCTTTCTTTCACTACTATATTATCTCAAATTCTGTTAGATTGCTTAAGAAAAATTGGAGCATCTTCTGTATTGAGAGATTAGCACAATACAGAGTTTAGAACAGAGAAGACAGAAACAGCATACTAGCTGAGTGCCAATGGCTCATGCCTTGCTACTCAGTAGAGTGACATCTGAGGATTAAAATTTGAAGTCAGCCCAGACAGGAAAGTCTATGAGACTTTTTTTTTGGGGGGGGGGGCAGTCATGGGGCCTGAACTCTGGGCCTGGGCGCTGTCCCTCAGCTCTTCAGCTCAAGGCTAGCACTCTACCACTTGAGCCACAGCCACTAACGGCTTTTTTCTTTTTGCTTATGTGGTGCTGAGGAATCGAACCCAGGGCCTCATGCATGCAAGGCAAGCACTCTACACGGAGCCACCTTCCAGCTCCTATGAGACTCTTATCTATAGTTAAGCATTAAAAAAGACAAAGTGTAACTTTGGCTCAAGTGGTAGATCAAAAAAGCTCAGGGACAGTGCCCAGGCCCAGAGTTCAAGCCCCAGAAATGGTGCGCATGCGCATGCATACGCGCGCACACACACCTCTAAAAAACAGACATTTACATAAAAATTTGTGAAGAGAAAAAGAAACCCTTCTATATCCTTCAATTAGTTTTCCAGGTGGCTTGTCAGTATTAACATTCACAATCTTCACAAGAAAAATGACTCACCTAACAGGAAAAAACCTAATATCAATGTGTAAAACTATAAAATTGACAAATCAGTGCCCATATAACTACTGCACAACTACCTGTCCAAAAATCTTATCCACAATTCTATAATCAGTTCTAAATATAGCAGGACCTTAGAACAGAAAGAAAATTTTCATCAGAAAGGTCATCAGCAACACCAGACTAAGCTAGAGTAATGAATTTTAAATCATCAAGGAATGAAAATCAAAGCTAAGGACTTAAAATCTAGTAAAAATGCTAGGCAAATATAAATGTCAGGAAACAACATTCCAGGAATAGTGCTCTTACAAGCCCTTAGAAATCTACAAAAGAATGATCGTTTTCTGGGGATCTATTCCATGACAGAATGTTTGCTTAGTGTATGTGGGAACACTGGTTTGATCCTACTTGCACACATATATGCACACACAATGTAGAATGAACTTTAAGAAGCAACAACGATTCACAGTATCAGCATAAAAACTAGTGAAGTCTTCCTTTAAAAAAATGAAGAAAAAATTTAAATCTTATTTTACAATACCACTGAAATAACTGTGTCGTAAATTTGTCTAACACCATTGCTGCTTTAATAAGAATAACCACTTTTCAGCTTGCTAGACATTAAAATGCAGTCTTATCCCATTACTGTTGCCTAGGTAAAACTTCCTCTCTCTCTCGTGATTCTGCACAACAATGAACCAAAGCCCAACACAGCTCCCAGTTATTAACCAACCACAATAAAACCTAATAACCAGACCACAGACATGTAAATAAATTCCCTACCTTTATATTTTCTTGGCATTTCCAATCCACAAACCCCTTGGGGAAAGCTGAGGGCTATTGATATTTTATTGTAAAGGTGATGTACAGAGGGGTTACAGTTGTATCAGTAAGGCAATGAATACATTTCTTATCAACGTTACCCCCTCCCTCATTCAGAAACTTTTAAATAAAAGTGGAGGCCCCTAAGTCTTCTATACTCCTTTTACCTTTTCTCTCCCTTCCCTCATCCATTACGGTTTCCAAGTGCCTCCAGAGACCCCACCGGCCTCCCTTGTAAACACCTTCTTCTTTCATCTGCAGAATGTGTTCCTCATGTGTCTTTCCAATGCATTTGTCTTACTTTCCCAGTACACTCATACCTAGACAGTGGCTTTCTTGGCTTATGGGCACTCTTCAGACAAACCTTATGGCTAAATTAGAGGAAAGCACAACAAATGGTAAGAAGGAAGAATGAAGAAAGAAGGGATGGGAACAAAACTAAGAAAAGTTTTCATAAATAAAACCTGGCTGATTGCCATATATCATCTAGAGTATTTCTAAATCTATTTATGTATCTTTTTTCTTGCCAAATTCTAAATGCTTACTTCCTGAGACTGAACAGTTTTTCTGATCTGACAATTTGATATTCTCTTCTATATACCACTCTACATAGATGACTCATTATTCAGGCACTGTCTGTCCAATTCTACCACAGTATCTAGTCTACTTCTCTCCATGCAGTACACCAAATGTCTACCTTTCAATAACTAACCATGCAGTTCAAAGGATTCTCTTAACATAATACATGCATGACAATCACTGACTTAAAAATGTCCAATTTGTTACCAAGCATTGCAGCCTCCTCCTTTGGTTTACCCTTCACTTCCCTTCCCAGCCTCCCCCCTCCCCCCCAATCCCAACCCTTCTCCTTCCCCCCCCTTCCCCTCCCCCCTGAACCGACTTTGTAAAGCTTGTTTTGGACATGACAACTTATACTTCTCGTTGTTGCATCAGGTCCACCTGTATCCTTAAACAACTGTTTTTCCCCCGCTGCCCATGTAATTGTAACCCCTCTGTACAGTATGTTCACAAATAAAATAAAATAATTAAAAAAAATAAAAAAAGAAATGTACTCACTATCTTGCCCATGTAATTGTAACCCCTCTGTACAGTATGTTCACAAATAAAATAAAATAATTAAAAAAAATAAAAAAAGAAATGTACTCACTATCTTGCCCATGTAATTGTAACCCCTCTGTACAGTATTTTCACAATAAAAAATTATTAAAATTTAAATTTAAAAAAAAATGTCCAATTTGGACTGGGAAGGTGGCTCAGTGGTAGAGTGCTTGCCTTGCATGCATGAAGCCCTGGGTTTGATTCCTCAGCACAACATAAGCAGAAAAAGCTGGAAGTGGCGCTGTGGCTCAAGTGGTAGAGTGCTCCCCTTGAGCTGAAGAGCTGAGGGACAGTGTCCAGGCCCAGAGTTCAGGCCCAATGAATGACAAAAATATAAAAAAATTTAAAAATCTCCAACTTTCTGATGCTGGTTTCTGAAATGCATTATGAGGTTCAGATTTCAGAAGAAGAGAACAAAGATGAGATAAGGTGGAAAAAAGCACTTATTATTTTACCCCAAAACACTTTGTTCCAGGGCATTAGATATTTATAATACCCTAAATGTACTTTTTACAAATAAAGAAACAGAATCTAAGATTAGGTAATTTGGTAAAGATTCACAATTACTAAGAAACAAAACTAAGATAAGCAGTCAATTATGTCTGACACCGAAATTCTTAATAAGCCACACTGCTAAAATATGACAGCTGTTTTCCTAACAAGTATGACCACTGACCAGGTTTAAAAGGCAATCATTTAGGTGGGGGAGGGAAGGGATAGTAGGAGAAAAACAAAGGAGGGGGTAACAATGCTTGACAGGGAATGTACTCATTACCTTACTCATGTAACTGTAACCTCTCTGTACAGCATCTTTACAAGAAAATAGAATTTTTTAAAAAGGCAACCATTTAATGATGTTAATCATTAATAAAAACAAATTATTACCTTCTTGTATAGAGCCATTATATCAGAATCCAATACAATTATATTCCTTAGCTTTGCAATTGTTTCAGTAACTAAGGGCCTCATAATCACCTCAGAATCAAGTCCTAGGGGAATAAAAAGATAAATGATTGCTTTTTCCTTTCATTTAAAATTTTGCTTTTTTATGAAAATTTATTACCTTCGATCTTAATTTCAGCAATGTTTCGCTTCTGATCTTGAATAAAAATCCGCAAACATGATAATTCTGCTAAAATCTGCAAGGTAATAATATCTTCATTCGTGGATAGCTTTAAAGCTACAAAAAAAAATCATAAAATGTAAGAGAAAACTTTTAGTAAACACTATACTTATAATTCAACTGAAATACCAAAACAAAAATACTACATAAAATCTAGTTTGTGATTTAACTGAATATTCTTTATGATTCTAAGGTATGTCTTATGATTCTAAGAATCATGTAATGAAATCAAAAGCAAATAAATAGGCAAACAAAACACTGTTAATAAAAGACTATAACCAGGTTTTCCTGATCTAACAATTTGTTATTCTCTTCTATATACCACTCTACATAGATAACTCATTCAGGCACTGTCTGTCCAACTCTCCAACAGTATCTAGTCTACCTCACTCCTTTCCATATAGTACCAAAATGTCTACCTTACCATCAGGTTCAAAGGACTCTCTTAACATTACCATAACATGCATGACAATCAGTATTTAAAAAAATCTCCAACTTTCTGATGTTGGTATCTGAAATGCACTATGAGGTTCAGATCTCTGAAGAAGAGATGTAAAATCCTCAGTTTTCCAAGGGAGGTAGTGCTAGGGGTTTGAACTAAGGGCCTCCTGGTAATTTTCCCTGTGAGCTACACCTCTAGCTGTGTTTGTTTTCCATAGTTATTTTGGAGATGGAGTCTAGCAAACTTTTCTGCCCAAACTGGTCTGAAGCATGATCCTCTAGATCTCAGCCACTTAACTAGATAGGACTATAGGTACAAACCTACAGCAGCCAGTTAAAATCTTTAATTTGTTTCAGTATGATTACTGGTAAAAAGTTACTATAAAAAGTATGTTATGTGCTTTTTAAAGTAATAAACTGAGTATCAACAACCCAAAAATCCCATTTCAGAAATGCTCCAAAATTCAAAATTTCTCAAGGACCAACTTTGGATTCTGGAGCATCTCAAATTTCAACTTTGTGCATTTCGGATGTTCAACCTATATTCTGACCAAGGATGTAAGGGCGCTCTGGCTGTGACATCTGTCACCCCATTGATGGCCAGGGTTCATTCGGCTGATCTGGCTGGCTAGGCCAGTGTCCCCTTCCTCCCTCCCTGTTCCATGTGCATCCCTCCAGAAGCTGCGCGCTCGGTCGAAAAGTACAACCATCCCCAACAGAGGAAGATCAGTCTTCGGTCAAGGGTATAGGAGTAGCTGTGCTCCCCTACTAGAACCTCCAAACAAGCTCTCAAGGTCCTATATTCTGACTAAAAATATACTCTAAGAATCAAATTTTCTTAGTTCCACCTTAGTCTAAAATAGTGCTATTGAATATAGTAATTCTTTTTTTGGTCGTGAGGCTTGAACTCTGAGCCTGGGCGCTGTCCTTGCGCTCTTCAGCTCAAGGCTAGCACTCTACCACTTTAGCCATAGCACGACTTCCAGTTTTCTGGTGGTTAATTGGAGATAAGAGTTTCACAGCGTTTCCTGCCCAGGCTGGCTTTGAACCATGATCCTCAGATCTCAGCCTCCTGAGAAGCTAGGATGACAGGCATGAGCCACTGGTGCCCGGCTTGAATATACTAATCTTAATGTAAATAAAATACTTGTACTATATATAACAAATTATATAGTAAACTTTTATAAATTAACATGAAATATATTTATTGACCTACTTGGTTTAAAAATTGAAGTTAAATTTTAAAGAAATATACCTAATTTTTTAACGACATCTCCTTTGTCTTCAGTCTCCGTAACAGACACTGGGGATCCTTCCACAGATTGTGGAAGGATATTGTTAAGGTAATTTATTGTATTCAGAAGTGCTTCAGTATGTAAATGAATATCCAAAGAGGAAAAATTCACCTAAAATTAACAATATTAATTTTAGTAAAGAGTCAATAAAAATTTGTAGTATCTATAGGCACTGTTTTCTGCTACAAATGATATGATTTATAATAACCAGGGTTTATCCTTAAGAATTTTCTAAATCCAGTATAAAATAATTGTCATATTGAGACACAGAAACATATTGTGTAATTCAAAAATAAAGGTATTACCTACTCATACCTTAATCAGTTGTAAAACATTGTTATAGGTACTTTTCAAGTCAGGTGCACTTTTTTCAGCCTATCCAAATGGAAAATAAATCTGTTAGAACATCTTAGGAAGTCATGAGTATATATAATTACTTTATAGTTCTAATACACAGTTATATGATTTTCCTCAACACACTAAATCAATCTATCTATGTATATATATAAAACGACACACACCATAATTTATATAACTATATACCATATACTGAACATCTACTTAACTCTATTTACCCAAATAAGCAACTTTTATAATTCTGGAACAAAGCAACTACTTTACTACAAGAGAAATATATATAGGGTCCTCTAGCAAGTGGTTAGTAAATGTTACATATAATTATTTGTATTATAAAGAAATCATAAACACCATCAAAAGTAACATCATTTGGTCATAAAGAACTCTGGTTTTTCCTAATCCAAAAAATTTTGTGGCAAAATTGTTCCAGAATCCAAATGTTATTTTCTTTTTCTAAAATTATTACTTATATTGTGATTAATAAATAATTGGATACGGGTATAGGAACCATCTGATGTTCTGACATGTATATATAATGTGGAATAAATTAGCTAACTTATGTCCATCTCTTTGTTTATCCATCATTTCTGAAGAAGACATTACAAATTTAGCTTTAGTTATTGTGCAGTATACTTTATTATACAGTCACTACATTGTGCAGCACAGCTCAATCCTACTTGTCTTGCCTGTCTGAGAGTCCGTTCCTTTTTGTCAGAAGTTCCCCTTTCATCCCTTTCCTACCATTCCCACTTCCTGTTAGCTACCATTTTTCTCTACTTCTATGAGTCAGTGTTGTGAGATCCTATAATATTGGTTTCTCTATGCCTGGATTATTTCACTTATCACAGTATCTTCTGGACCCACTTATATTGTTACAAATGAGAGCATTTCTCCCCTTTTGAAGAGTATTCAAGCATCTATGTAGGTATGGGTATATGTTTTTGTAATATGTATATATAAAACACACATATAATTCTATAATTGCAATACATTATGATATATAAAATGGAATATAAATTTCTTCTCTACTTAAGATCCACAACATTTTTAATCTAAAAGTTAAAATAAATATACTAACAAAAAATCCTAAAATATCCACACTAAGAGTGGATAGTAGTAATTGGTCTTAAAAGTAATAAAATGCTCTTAAAAATTATTAAACCAATATGAAAATAACAATGAAAACAGAAATGGACCATAGTCCATTAAAAAAACTTCTCAAATGAAATAGACATCATGAATAAGAATGAAACAAAATACACTGACATTAAATGAAACAACTTTATACAAGTGAAATCATTATCCTGTATCATGTATAACAATAAACTTCATCAAGACTAAAAGTGTGTTCTTTTTTAATATACTGGATAAAATAATTACATTGAAGGTCCTTTCTACTTAGAATAAGGCTATTTATTTTGCTTATGAAACATTTAGATGTCACATTTAGTATAAATGATACGACAAAAAGAAGTTAGAGAAGATATTACATTAGAATAATAATTAAAGAAACTATTGCAAAACATATAAAATGTGACTAAAATTTCAGCACCTCACTTACCTGTCAAGCAGATAAGTGGAATTTCTTACCTTCACATATTCTAGTGTTAACAGATCTTCCATCGTGTTATCCAGTGTTGTGACCAAATAAATGGGTTTCCTGTTTTCATCTAAAAATATTTTTTAATCACCTTTTGGTAGAAAAACTAATTAAAAATAGACACAGGCAATATTAATAGTTGTAAGACAGAAAAAACTTATAATAGTTCTTAGCCTTGGAATCTATTTTATCCAATAAGATCCTTGTATTTTTTAAACTGAAAAAGTTAATTCCTCCTCACAATTGTTTTCTTCACTTGTACTTCAAGACTAAACACTAAATGCTTTTTAATTCTAAACAGGAGGTAAGAAAATCAGAAATCTGTCCAAGAAAAAATCAGAATGGTACGTAGGAGCAATGAAGAACATAAAGAGAACTCTGGTCCTGGGACACAAAAATAAACTTTGAAGCTAGGACTAAGGTTAATGAAGATCATCATAATTACCCAGGTGTGAAATTAACCAGTTAAAATTTTTTTTTTTTGGTAGGTAGTGGGACTTGAACTCTGGGCCTGGGCGCTGTCCCTGAGCTCTTCAGCTCAAGGCTAGAACTCTACCACTTGAGCCACAGTACCACTTCCAGTTTTCTGAGTGGTTTATTGGAGATAAGAGTCTCACGGTCTTTCCTGCCTAGGCTGGCTTTGAATCTCAATCCTCAGATCTCAGCCTCCTGAGTAGCTAGGATTCAGTTATGAGCCGCCAGCACCCGGCCCAAAATACTTTTTTTTTTTTTTGGGTTGGTCGTGGGGCTTGGGTGCTATCCCTCAGCTCTTCAGCTCAAGGCGAGCGCTCTCCCACTTGAGCCACAGCGCCACTTCCCCAATTGAATTTTTAAGGGTAGAAAGAAAAAGTAGGAAGAAGAGAAAGAAAGAGATGGCAATATGACAACCTAATGATCTGTGCCACTTTTTGCTATATAGGAGGTAGTAATACAAGGACCACATCCAAAAATTAAGGATGGCCATTAGTTAATAAACAGCAAGAAAATGGATAAATCACGTTATTGAATTTAACACTTGAATGAAGAATAGAAATGAATCTCCCTCTAGAGCCTTCAAAAGGACTTCTTGAAGGCAGGCACCAGCGGCTCATGCCTGTAATCTAGCTACTCAGTAAGCTGAGAACTGAGGACTGTGGTTTGAAGCCAGCCTGGGTAGGAAAGTCTATGAGACTCTTAATTCCAATTAACCACCAGAAGATAGGAAGTGGCTCTGCGGTCCAAAGTAATAGAGTGCTAGCCTTGAGTGCAAAAACTTAGGGACAGCACCCAGGCCCTGGGTCCTAGGACAACAATAACAAAAAAGGACTCTAGACACTTTGATTTTTGCCCAGTGAGACTTGGATCAGACTAAGTTTGAGAGAATAAATTGGTGCCCAATTATTACAAGAGTAATAGGAAATGTAATGTTTCTGTATTTTGTATAGATTTAAAATTTAATCCACTTGATTTTCCTAAGTGAAAAAACTGTCAATGTTTGCCCTGAAACCCAGGGTATTAACTACGAGAGAGCTGAAAACTAGCCATATATGTGTGTACCTGTGTGTGTATATATTCTATATATATCTATAGCCTGTGGCTATAAACCCCATAATAGTCTGTAATACTAGCTATTAGGAGGCTGAGATGTAGAAGACCATCATTCAAGTCCTCTAGGCAGAAAAGTTCAATAGATTCTATTTCAAAACTAACCAACAAAAAGCCAGGTTCAGAATCAGCCAAATACGAGTTCTATACAGGTGCAGGTAAAAGATTAAAAACTAATTCTGCTATAGATTGGATGTGGTTTGCCTCCCCCTGCCCCAACCACCATACACACACAAAAAGAGCATGTGTTGCAGACTTGATTCTCAAGTGTGGTATTGCTGAAGTGTTAAAATCTTTTCTCAGTTCCCAGGAGAATGAATAGTTGAGTGAATATGGCTCCTGATTATTCTCTGGCTTTCTGTCTCATTATGTGATCTATATATACATGCTCTTGCAATGAATTCATCTACCAAAGTCCATACAGAGGTTAACAAATGCAGTCACAATAGCTTGGACTTTCAGCCCCCAAACTATGAGCTAAATAAATTTCTCTTTGCCTAAAAGATTTTCCAATAGCAATGGAAGACAGACTTAAATGCAAACTCAAAATTTAACAGTCTGAGACTATTTAGCAAATAAATAGATCTAAAATCTAAAGAACTAGAAACTCTACAGCAGGTAGTCAACAAAATTTTTTTTTAAATTTCAGTGAACAGTGAAATAATTTCAGTGAATTAATCACAGAGATTCTTACCTAAGTATTCTGGACACTTTAAGCAAAACTCTTTCAAAAATGCATTTGCTTTCAAATCACATGTTCTAATCATAACTTCTGTGCCCAATCCTAAAACATCAATTTCTACCACAGATATTTCACAATCCTCCACAAGGTGGTATAATTGAACTAAAACCTAGAGAAGAAATAAGAAAAGTATCACTGTATAGAACACATGTCTAATCATGTAACAAGGCCCTGAATTTAAACTCTAGTATCTTAAAAATACAGAGAGGAAAAAATGCACCACTATATAAAAGTAGTAAAGGTATTTACATATAATATGGTTACATAAGGATTTAGAAATTATGCATGTAAATAAGTTATATATTATAATTTTTAATACACAATTTATGAACAGCTTTATATTCTATACCTACATGTGTAAATAATCATTTAAAAAATGCACTAAATATTCACAATATATCATCTAAACCTTTAACTTTTTCTAAGGAAGCTAAATCTTAAGTGGAAAAAAGGAAGGTGGGGAGATGAGGAACCACACAGCAAGTCTATGTCTAGTTTAATCAGGGTGAAAACAATAGTGCTACTGGCAATGACACTAAATAAGCTATCCATAATATAAACAACAATGTAAATAACCTATATTAATTTGATCTCAGTACATACCTCTGCTACTTCAAATCGTATTTTAAATTCTGTCAAATTCAGTGAACAGTCTTGCTTTTGTGACTTTCTATGTCGAGTAATTTTAGCTCCAGTAATAATCGGAGGACATTCATCCAAAGGACTAGATAGTGCATCAAAAAATTCCTCCTCTGAATCTAAATTTCACACAATATTAAGTCAACAATCAAATGATCTATTTAATATTGTTATCACTTCTGAAATAAATTTAAGCATTAAAATACTAAGAATTTATTTAAAAAAATAAAAACAGTAAGACAAAGTTAATAAAAAATATAAAGTATCAAAAAAGCATTGAAAAATAGCAAATTATGTTTAGATTAAGATCACCTTTTAAATCTATTTCAAAACCATATAAGAAAAACTTACATTAACTCATAACAGCAATGACTACATGCATAATAAACACTCCAAAATTAGCATGGAAATATGCTCACTGTATGCACAATAGTACTAGCTACAAACTACATTACCAGCAGAGATCAGGACTTAAAAGTTTGAATCAAGTCTTTCCCTTACTCACAATTTCATTTAATGTAATTTTAGTTATGTTAAATGAAAATATCCACAACCAATACAATTTTTTAAGTTTTAATAACTGCATTATATCCTCAGTCAGCAATGTATTGTAACTGTCATACTATCCCACTCCAGATGTGAATTGTTCCTTTGCAGGTTTATTATAGGGGAAAAGGAAGTATCTTCTCTTTGTTCTCCTAAAGATCACAGATTTATTTGAATTTACTCACAAAAGATTATAGGAGAAAAAGACATACAAATTAATTAACATGCCTAGGGGAAAACAAGTCACAACATTGTTTATCCAAGTGTCCCAGTGAGGCCCAGTGTTTACGAATCCTTTTCACAAGGAGAGGAGAAGGCTGAGGTCATGTCTCCTGCCTAGCCCCAGCAGCAGCACCTGCAGCGATTTCAGTCATATAGAGAAATGGGGACGGACTATTTGAGACAGAGTAAATGATTTTAGGCAAATGGGCCCAATGCTCAGAACTGAATAGGACTAGGAGACAGAAAATAAGCTATTTTAAAACAAATTCTGTTCTTACATGAAAGATTCTGTCCACATATGGTTATATTCTTCCATCTTTCGTCCTAAAAACCATGTTTAGATAATGAAAACTAAGGAAGGGACTAAAGATAAATGTTTCCTTTGTTGGAAGCATCACAGAAAAGCCTTTTCCAACACCTGCTGCTTTCCAAGCAGATACCTTAAAATAATCAGCATACCAAGCCATTTCTGGGGATGAAATTCCCTAGATACCTCCAGCGCACACACACACGCGCACACACACACACCCACACCCACACCCACACCCACACCCCCCCACACACACCCATTAGGCACCTAGTAACCTTCTTGGTTATCAGATCCACTGTTATAGAATTATAGTGTTTGTGCTCAAGTAACCCTTATTTTACTTAATAATGACCTCAAGGTCTAATAGGAATGGTACTGGGAATTCACATACACCTCTGGGAAATCATCAGATATTCCCTCTTTAATGTAGAATTCCTCAATTTTTTTTTAAAAAATGTCATTTGCTTATATTTCTAACATCAACTCTACGAACTAATCTGTGGAACTGTGAAGAAGAAACATACTAGAACATTGCTATATCTCAAACTGTGAGTTATAGTGTGATGGTCTCAGTTAAGATGAAAAAAAACAGCATTAAACTTCAACAAAGGTAAATACATCTAAGTGGAAAAAAATAAACTTAAGAGTTCAGAATTATTCAAGAACTCAGTTAACCATTAGGGGTCTTAGACAATATACTTCATAAATAGGAGATTCTTCTCTCTTTCAATAGATTGGTCCCTAGAATTTACCTTGAAATTTTAAGATCAAAAATAAGAAAAGCATTCAACAACTTAATGAAAGTACTAAAAGATATTTAAGAAAAATGAAATAATATCAATCACATCCTAAAGCCTAATATTGAAGTAAAAGAGTATTACAAAAAAGCCTCCTCTCTAGTTTCCATACCCCAAAGAAAACATTCCTCAGAAACAATATATCAACATGGCACTGTTAATAAGTAACTTTAAATGATATTAGAGTAGTTTTAAGTTTTCAGATGTGAGTTTAAGTATTAACACTTGATTTTTTTCTTTAATAGCAAACAATTATATATGAAGTTTTACTATCACAAAACACTCCAAGGAACTAAATACCATATTATAAGCTACATATTTCAAAGTTTTATGGAGTTTTTTAACCCTGAGCTCAATAAAGACTATTAATGTAACAAGTGATCTTTGGGATTATAAATTCAACTTTTCATACACCAAAAACAAACAAAAACCAACTAGGAAAGTAACTCCAAGGACATTTGAATTGTGGTTACTTTAAGGAAATCTAAGTTAAAATGTCTTAACAATATACAAATAACTATTATGTGACATTTTTATGACTATAAAAGAGCAAGATATGCCAGTCTAAACTATGCCATTTTGACATTAGCTTACTGGATTAGAAACAGCAAACATAGAAGAGGCACAGAAGATAAAACATCCCTATTGAAACTGATACTAAAATTTATAAAGGAAATTTGTCTTTGTAATGGTATCTCACTACACCAGAACGATGACTCTTAATAATAAAACATTCTCACCAAAGGAGAAAGATGTTGACTTTATTTTAACTTGCCCTTGCTTGCCATACTTCTTGTGTTTACCTTTCCATAATATACTTCCCCAAACTCAGAAGCCCCACTTGTTTTCCTTGAACTGAAACTGACATGGAAATCCTAGTTTTTACCACTCTTAAGTCACTATCACTGTTTCTCATATACATAAGACACAAACATTAATAAATTACATTTGCTCCCTTTCTCTTCTCTTTTGTTAAAGAATCTAGAAGTTAAAAGGAAAGAACACTTAAATTCCTTCACATGGTCATTTGAAGAATGCCTCAAAATGGAAATATTAATAATAAAGTATAACATATAAAATATGGAATTTCCCTTAAGCAGTTTCATTTTACCATCTTCAGTAATGGAGGGCAGTTCCAAGAGAGGAATTATTTTCTGTGTGATCTCTGATGTTGGAATAGATGTTTGAATCTGAAAAAAAAAGAGGAATTCACAGCTAATTATCACAGACGTTTTTGAAGGTGTAAGACAATTCTGATTTTAAAAACTATTCAGTTCAAATAATGTAAGAAGACATCAGAACTCATTAGAAAAATTATATAGATTTTAAAAGGGGGATTTACAAGTTTAAAGTATATGTTTAATATTAAAAGTAAAAAGCTAAAAGAATTCACAAGTCACAAAGTAAGCACATATTTATTTAACAAACTACCAAACTATTTCCAAATGTAACACCATTCTTCACTGATATCAGCAATGTATTAAAGTATCAAATTGTAATTGTCTCAATACCTGGGCCATTGGTATTCTATTTATTTTTAGACATTTCTAATCACTGGTTAGTGGTACAACCATATGGATATATTTTCTTGATAGGTAATAAAGTTGAACATCTTTCATGTTAATTATTTACCTGTTGTATAATGAGCTATTGGTTTCCTAAAATATCATGGATACAGTTTCCTAACATGTATGTGTTTACAAGAATTTTTCCCATGTGAATGGGTGGATAACTTGCCCATTCTTTTTTTTTTTCTTTTAATAATGTCTATCAAAGAATAAACTTAATTTTCACAAGGTACAACTTAGTTTTTTATGCTACATTTATGACTTTAATATTTGAATACAATTTTATTACTATAAGAACTCAAACAATTTTTTCTCTTCAGAATATTACTATTTTGGCTTTTACATTTAGATCTATTTTCCAATTCAAACTTCATTTGTGAGGGGTGGGGTATGATGATTTACCATCAAATAGATTTACCCCTTTGTAAAAGAAATTAAAAACATTTTATCACCTACTAAAGATTTATTTCTAAACATCATTCTACTTTACCGATCTGTTTAACCTTAAGCTAATTTGAAATTGACAGGATTTAGGAAAGGCTACATAGATATGGGACTCTGCATTTAAGAAAATACCACATCTCATTGCAGGAATAATGGAAAGGATGGATTTGACCTTATATATGGAAAAATGATGAAAGTTTTGTACAGTTAATATACAATAAAAAGAAAAATACTTATGTAGAAATAAAACTAGAAAAAAAGTATCAAAATATGTGACTGGATATTTTCTTTCTGAAATTATCCAGAAAAAGTGAAGACAATTATGAATATGGGAAAAGTACTATTCATTGCAAAAATAAGTGAATACCACAATAAAAAATCAAACAATGAAACAGAAAAAAGTACTTTTAACTGATCAATATAATATTCTTAATTTGAAAAACACTATCCAGTAGAAAAAGAGTACAAAGGACATAAGCAGCAGTCTCCAAAAGAAGAAATTCAACCATTAAACTTAGAAAAAAATGTATAAACTGACATTTTCTCAGAATAAAATATTAGTAATTGCTAATAGGATTAATTACAGCAAAAGAAAAAAATACTCATTCACAGTTAATGGACTAAAATGGTCAATTTAGAAAAAAAAATCAAATGTATCATAACATAAAATTCAGATACTCCTTTACTCAATATCACTTCTAGAAATTTATCCTACAAAGTATTCCCAAATATATATAGCATAAAGAAGTCCCTTTCACAACTTATAACATGTGACTGCCCATCAAAAGAGGATATATTGAGATATATCCACATAATTCAAAGCATAATTATAAAAAAAAACAGGTACTCTGTAAGTGCCAACATGAAAATATCACAAAGATACATAACATGACGGTAGTGATGAAAGAACGCAGTTGAATATAGTAAGTACAATATCCATATTTAATTGCAAGACTGTAAGAGGATACTTAACTATGAAGCTATGTGCAAAGAAATAATGACCAACAATATTGCCATGAATAAGAAGAAATGAAAGCTGCCAAAGCAAGCAGTTGGGTTTTATTTTACACCTTTTTAAAGAAACCTAATTGTACTTTTTCATGCTTTATCCATTTCTTTCCTAGAATGTCTGTTCAAGATGATTTACAAATCATTATATCTGAAATAGCTGTGGTTGTTCCAAATAGTAAAATACTACTTATGAATAATTTGGGGGGGGGCAGCAAGGGAGGAGAGGCGGGGAGTGGTTGTTAGTCTGGGGCTTGAATTCAGGGCCTGGGCGCTGTTCCTGAGATTTTTTTGCTTAGGGCTAGCACTCTACCACTTGAGCCTCACCTCCACTACAGGCTTTTCAGTGGCTAGAAATAATAAGAGTCTGAATCATAGACGTTCAGGCCCAAGCTGTCTTTGAATCACCATCTTCCTATCTCAGCCTCTTCAGTGGCTAGGATTACAGGCATGAGCCACTGGTGGCTTCTCAACATTCTGTTGTAACTCAATTTTTTTATTAATTCTGAAAATATTCTTACCTGAAATGACTTGACAGGGGCAGATACATCAGCTACAGGTGTAGGTTTTGGAATGCTTTCAACCAGTTCCATAATCCCTTGTAGTTTTTTATCAGAGATTCTTAAAGAAACAAGAGGTAACTTCCCAGAAAGCTTGAATCTGTTAAAAAGATAGGAATCATTACAGAGGAACTTTCAATCTGATTTAAGTGCACTAATTTTTAAAAAGACCTAAATATGGAGAGCTAACTCTGTGATACAGCATCTGGCTAACATATACAAGGTCCTGGGCTTAATCCTCTGAGTGACAAGAAACATGCAACTAAACAAAAGATGGAGAAGTGGGGAGGAATAAAGAAAACCTGAGAGAGAAAGAGAAAAATAGACTGCATCCTTCAAATCACACAAATATAAGCGAATGTGATTTTAAGCACTAAAAGTCACTATACCAACTCCTATCTTACCTTAATATATATATCCTTACACATGTACTATCCTTAATATTTTTAGGATTGTTTTCTAATATTTCATTTATTCTAATTTTTGCCAAGTATAGATGACAATTATTGTTATCAATGTATATTACATAATGGACAATGAAGAAAGCACTTTATATGCATTATTATAAATATTCCTCACAATCTATGAGTAATCTACTTTTATTCACTATAACTGTTAAGTTCGATATGTGTATGATTCCTATAACTAAGGCTTAACAAATTCAAATAACTTATCCAAGGAATTATATCTCTAAATCCATGACTTAAAACTAGTATTTTACTGTTTTTTAATTGCCTTGAGACCTTTTCTTAAAAGTACATCATTGATCTTGCTATGTCCTTTGCCATGCAGAAACTCTGGAGTTTCATGCAATCCCATTTGTCCAACCTTTGATTTGTAGACTTTCTGGATCTCTATTAAGAAAATTTTGGCCTGTGCCAAGGAGCCCTAAGAGTTTCTCCTATTCCTTCCTGTAATATGTTCAGGGTGTCGGCTTTTACTTTAAGGTCTTTGATCCATTTGGAGTTGATTCTGGTGCAGGGTGATATATAAGGATCTAATTTTGCATCCATCAGAAAGGACAACACTACCCAATTTGTTAGGAAGTGGAAAAACTTGGAAAAAATCATATTAAGTGAAGTTATCCAGTCCCAAAGAAATTTAGGTCCCATGGTTTCCCTTATTTGCACTAATCCATATAGGATAATCTTATCAGATGAGCTGAAAAGCTCAAAGATCATGTACAAATGACCATATAAGTTGATGCTAAGTGAAATGAACTCCAAGATAAGGACATAAGAGGTCTCTTTATTGTTACTGTTTTAAATGTATCATGTGATTTTGTTATTTTTTGTTATTGTTTCCTTTGTATGTTCATTTCCCTGTTGTTACTGTATATACATATGTCTAATCTGGGGAGAGAAAAGGGAATAACAAAACCCTGAAATGAGAATACAGGATGACCCATTACAACAAAGATACTTACTGGACAGTATTATTGGAAATGAACTTTACAACTTTGGGTGGGGAGAGGGATAAGAGGGAGGTAATCATCTCATGGGACCCTGACAATTCCTCCCCAAGAGTGATGCCAGCAACAACAATTTCACCAGAACCACTGTAGACCAAGAACTGAGAAAATGCCTACCCAGGTCCCACCTGTGACAGGGACTGTTTTACTATGCACACCATTTGTCTCCATCCCTCATTCTTTGTCTACTTAAGCCTGTATTTCATGTCTGTACCCCATATGTGTTAAAGTGTTCTGAGTCATGAAATAAATCTTTCTTTGCTCTTTACCATCACAAGCTTCTTATTTGTCACACAAAGGTGAGTGGCTAGACCTGAAATGTAAAGCCCCAGGAGTTTGGGTCTGCAAGCTTAAATAGCCAGTTTCAGTAATTCAAAGGAAGGTTCCAGTTACTTATAGTTTCCAGATTTTACATAATATATTCACTTTATACTGCTTATAACATTACAAAATACACACTAAACATCAGATTTTGTCTTTTTATTATTTTTGGTATTTATTTTAATATACTTATCTGGTTCTAACCATTAGCAATACATAAAATTACATACACGAACCAGCTATTTTATTAGTTTCTGCTATGCTAAATCTATTCCCTGCAGAAAGAATATTCTTTTTTGTGTGTGTGTGAAAATACCGTACAGAGGGATTACAATTACGTGAGCAAGGTAATGAGTACATTTCTTATCAAGCATTGTTGCCTCCTCCTTTGTTTCCCCTTCCCATCTCCACCTCCTCACCCTGCCCTTGGGGCCAAAGTTTTAAAGTTCATTTTTCAACACAACGTCTTGAACATCTCATTGTTGCAATGGGTCCACCTGTATCCCTATTTAAACAATTTGTTTTTTCCCTTCTCCTCCACAAATTAAGTAAAAACAGGGGTTATACCGTGGAGGAGGGACATACAAAGCAACAAAGAAATACCTTATAAATATGTTACAAACAATAGCAAGAAAGTCCTTATCTTGGGGTTCCTTTTGCCTAACAACTTATCTGATCGCTTTTGCTTGTCTCAGACATATACTAGTTATTCTCCTTAAACATCCTGACCCAAAATAAAATGACTCCAGAGCAATCAAGGTAAGTTGTCTTTTTCTTAACTCAGGACCACCTCCCTCTTCCTTTGGATACCCTGAATATCCTAGATTATAGCTTATCAGGAAACAACAGCAACAACAAAATACTGACTTCAAAAAAAAGGAAAGAAAGAAAATCAATGCACCCAGGCACGAAGTGGCTCATGCTTGTAACTAAGCTACTAGGGAGGCTGAGATCTGAAAACTGACGTTCAAAGCCAGTCCAGGCAGGAAAGTCTATGGGACTCTTACCTCCAACTAAATAACAAAAACCCAAAAGCAGAGCTAGGGTTAAAGTGGTAGAGTGCCAGCCTCAAGCCTAAAGCTGTGGGGCAAAACACAGGCCTTATGTTCAAGTCCAGTTACAGGAGGGTCAGGTGGACAGGGTGGGAAAGCATATTTCTATGTTTGCATAAGGAAGTCAGTGCATATTGTTGTTATTGTTGTTTTGTCGGTCCTGGAGCTTGAACTCTGGGGCCTGGGCACTCTCCCTCAGCTCTTCCCTAGCACTCTACCACTTGAGCCTCAGCGCCACTTCCAGTTTTCTGGTGGTTAATTGGAGATAAGAGTCTCAGGACTTTCCTGCCCAACTTTATAGGAAATATCAGGGGTTAAATAGGCAGAGGGACACTGGGAAAGAAATAAAAATCAAACAATACATAAAGCTAAATTGCCACATACACACACACACAAAATCCCAGAATGTATAGAGTGGACTTAATTCATATTTTCTAAGAGTATAAAGCCTAGAAGAATAAGATTTAGGCCAATACATACATTAGTTATTAAGTAGCATCACAGTAAAATAAAAGACAATAAAAAAGGGTTTGGACAGAACAAGCATTACAGGCGTGAGCCACCAGTGCCTGGCTAAATTCAGATTTTGGGGGTTTTTTTTGGTCAGGCATGGGGCTTGAACTCTGGGCTTGGGCGCTGTCCTTGCCCTTTTCGGCTCAAGGCAAGTGCTGTACCGCTTGAGCTGTAGAGACTCTTATCTCTAAAGCACCACTTCCATGAGACTCTTATCTCTAATTTGCCACCACAAAACAGGAAGTAGAGCTGAGGCTCAAAGTACAGAACACTAACCTTGAGCAGAAGAAGCTCAAGGACAGTTTTTCTAGGCCCTGAGTTCAAGCCCCAGGACCAGCAAAAACAAAACAAAAAAATCTCTACCTGGTACCAGTGGCTCACACCTGTAATCCTAGCTACTCCGGAGGCTGAGATCTGAGGATCATGGCTCAAAGCCAGCCTGGAGAAGGAAAGTCCTTGAGACTCTTATCTCCAATTAACCACCAGAAAACCAGAAGTGGCTCCGAGGTTCAAGTGGTAGAACACTAGGGAAGAGTTGAGGGAGAGTGCTCAGGCCCCAGAGTTCAAGCTCAAGCTCCAGGACCAACAAAACAACAATAAAAACCCTCTGAGGATTATGGTAAGTCTCTCATGAGTCACCCTAGGTCTTTCCTTTCCCATGCCACATTTTCATATGGAAAAGAGTCAGATTATGCCCAATTCCTTCTAATCATATACTTAACTACTACCATGTGGAACATTCTATTCTACCTTGATAATAACAATTCTCCTGAAACTATTTGGAAGGCCATTAAATGAGCTTTTGATGAATATTTTAAATAATTCTGTGATTGAGGTTTGAATACTTAGGTAACGATGATCAATAGGAAATGTACTCATTACCCTACCCCTTTGTACAGTATTTTTACAATAAAAAATATATACAAAAAAAAGACAAAAAGTGGGCAGAAACAAGAGGTGAAATGGCTACCTCTACAATATAAAACTATATAAGAATAAGTCACCTAATGATGTAGTCTAGTATTAGTATGTAACTAAATCTTCTATTTTATATTTGGGGAGCCTAAAATAGTTAAATTCATGAAGATTACACATAAAGTGGTGATAGTTAATGGCTAGTGTAAAATGGGTGTCACTGGTTAATGGGCACTGAGTGTCAGTTTGGAAGGTAGTAAATTTCTAGAGGTAGATGGGGATTCTGATTGTCCAACAATGTAAATGTACTTAATGTCAATCAAATATATAGTTAATTTAAATGACAATTTAAGCAAATGCTTTGTTACATGTATTCTGCAAGAAAAAAAGTCAAAGAAAACCGGCATTTTCCTCACTATAGAATTACTTAAAATATCTGAATCATATAAAACAGATAATACATACTTGGGCATCCTGATATCCATGAATACCATGGCTTTAGAGAGCTCCACGCTGACATGCATGGGTACCAAAATATGCTGGGTAGATACATTCAGTTTTCGTGCTTCTTTCCAATTATCACCTAATTACAGAAAATATTTCACATTTGACACTAGCATACTTTGAATAACAAGTAAACCCTAAAATTCTATTGATATTTCATATCTACCTACATTCCACATGGTGTGGGAAAAATCTAAGTTATCTAACATTCTGATCATCTTATCTAAAATAAAACAAAACCAAGGAAAAATTCATTATTTTCCTTGCACTGCTTGCAGAGACACTGTATATTCTACTGTAATAAAAAGCACTATTTTAACAGTATATTTTTAATCAAATATACTGTGTCTATTGACAACCACTACACTGACGAGCTATCTTACCTCTACAACAACGTAACTGTAAACAAAATATGACAGTAAATGGAAAGGAAGAGAAAAAATGAGTTTCATGTAATAGTAATTGATAAATACTACCATTTATTCAAGAATTATAAATATCACTGCTCTGGGCAATGGTTAAACTTTAATTCTTGTAATGACTTATAATCATTCTACTTCAAAAACTGAGACTCAAAACTTAATTCCTATGCCAATGTAATGATGTTAAAACAGAAATTCACATCCAGGACTACAAACAGGCAATAATCACAGCAATTTTAGGAACTTATAAAGTGGTTAAATAATTTATGGCACAATCTTAGAAGTCTAACACTTCTAATGAGAGTCATAAATTCAACTGCTTAAAATATTATTGGTAAAGATCATAGAAAACTAAAATCAGGGATTGGTATAATGACATACTTCTTTAATACTACCACTCAGAAGGTGGGAGAACTTTAAGTTTGATACCAACCTGGGTTACACAATGGTATTTTAAGTCAAAAAACACCCTCATTATCCTTCCAAAAAAAGGAAAGAGAGAAAAAAACAGAGAAAGAACAGGGAAGGAAAAGAAGAAAGGAATAAAGGAAGGAAGGAAGGAAGGAAGGGAGGGAGGGAGGGAGGGAGGGAGGAAGGAAGGAAGGAAGGAAGGAAGGAAGGAA